CTCTATACATTGAAGTTTGAACTAACCTATGTTCATAGCCTGGTCCGCCTACTGGTCTCCTATCTTCCAGTCCTTGACTGCACAATGCATCAACCCATGCAGAGATATCCGTCACCATGCTGTTTCAGCTCTCCAACGAACTCTCCTTTCTCTCGAAATCAGCTCCACCGATGAGAAGGAGTGGACTGCGATCTTCGACCAGGTTCTCTTCCCCCTCATTCTGCGGTTATTGAAGCCCGAAGTGTACCACTCCGACCCCTTGGGAATGGGTGAAACCCGCGTCCAAGTGGCCATCTTGGTGTGCAAAATCTTCCTGCGATACCTCGACCAGCTTCCCAACCGTGACGGCATGCTCGATCTGTGGCTCAAGATCCTCGATATTCTCGACCGGATGATGAACAGTGGCCAAGGAGACAGCCTGGTACGTTGCCTTACTACAACCCTCAACTCAAAGCCCAGCACTAACCCCAACCAGGAAGAGGCGATCCCCGAAAGTCTCAAGAACATCCTCCTCGTCATGGCAGACGGAGGCTACCTGGTCCCTCCTTCTCAGGATCCCAGCAAGGAGCCCATCTGGACAGAGACCAAGAAACGCCTGGAACGATTCCTGCCCGATCTGTTCAAGGAAATCTTCCCCAATGCATCCGACGAGAAATCCGCCCCCGTCTCCGTGGCTCCCTCCCCTGGCCCGTCAACACCAACTCCCCCCGCCGAAGCTCAAGAGCAAGCCAGTACCAGCGCAGAAGAGCAACCGGCCTCATCTGAAGCTGCCGCCGAAGCCAAAGCAGAAGAAGAGACCGAAGCACCGGCGGCTAAACAGGATTGATTAATTCGGTCCACGAGACCTACCACGGTCTGACAGACTCTGGAATGATCAATTCCATCATCATTCGTCAGATTTTGTTATGTTACCCATTGTTTTCCATGTACCTCGGGCATTTTATAGCGTGGGTTATAGTCGATTTTGCCTTTGCCACTTACCATCCATGTTCTGCAAAAATACCTACCTATGTACCCTGTAAATATAATCAACTGCTCATCATGAAGAAAGACCGTTTTGCCTTTATTTGGTTTGGTACATTGACTAATCTAGTGACAGGGGACTGAACTATCCCCCAAGCATGCATATTTCATGTTCATTTTTCGTGTTTGTGTCGAACATTTGCGAGGTACTATCTACCTACTTTAACTTAGTATAGAACCTGCTGTTAATTTTTCTCTTCTCTACAGTAGTATTAATAGAACTAGAACTATTCATTTTGAACAATATGAGGATCTAATGAGAATCCTACTACTAGTATTTCCACCTTCGTCATCACTCATCCATAGCATGCACATTATATATATATATAAATGGTAAGTAAAGCTTCACGATCGATCAGCAACAGACAAACAAGCTCAGCTCCGATTCAGAGTGTCTATACTATACTATATAGTAAAGAAACGCCGAAGAGAAAAATGGGATGTACTAACTAAATAGGTATCCTATAAGTATAACAAATACAGAGCGAGGTGGCAAGAAGGAAACACGCGTGCGTGTACGCGGACTGGTAGAATGGTTTGGGTTGAAGATTGAAACAAAGGAGAAAGAAGTCGTCGGATGGTCGAGTGGTACAGATGATCTGGAGGGGTTGTTCTGGGTTATTCAAGAAAGGTCCAGTAGCCACAGTGACTGCTCAGATGGGGTAGATGGTAGGTGGGAGAATATAGAAGAGTGATTGATAGCGATGACGATGGAAAAGTGAAGAGATTTGCAGCATTTCCATCTTGAATTTGATGATGGATGATGGGATGTTGTCATTGAGATTGCAGCGCAGCTATTCAAAAGATAAAAGGAATGGTATACAGGTAAATTGAGCAAAGAGAAACGAGAACGAAAAAACTAGTCAGCGTCCATGTCGTCATCGAGATCAATCGCATCCGGGTTGACTGGAGCAGCCGAAGGCTGCTGTTCCTGGCCAGCTGGAGGTGGCCGGTTGCCACCTTCTGGTCCGGTGCTGGCGGCGACAAAGCCCACGGGGGCACGAGCCTCTCGCTCCAATGCTGCCATTGCGTCTGCACGCTCCGCCGCCGCGTCCTCGCCATCTTGCTCGTTGTCTTTGCCGCCATCTTGGGTCCGCTGTTGACTGCGGGCAATCGCCTGGGAAGCGATAAAGTTGACGTCGGTGCTGTTTCGAGGTTAGTCATGAGCTGATTGTTTGCTATATGTGGGCATCACTTACTTGTACTGTGCTTGAACACTGCGCTTGATACGAAGCATCTCCTTGAAGGTGTCCTCGTTTCCGTGCTGGACTTCGAAAGCCTCCCATTTCTGCCAGAAGGGCGCGTTGGTCCGGGGATCGCAGAACTGCGACGCATGTCCATAGATCGCACGGGCCCGGTCGATTTCTCCGAGTCTCCGCTCCATTTCTGCAAACTTGAGGCACATTTCCTTCGCTTCTTGGTCGGGCAAGGCTGCAATGGCCCGTTCGTAGATGGGTCTCGTAGACGTTAATCCAAAGTTCGAAGCCGACTTCGTGATGTAGAACTCGAACATCTCGAATCTGTCCTCGTCGGAGACGGCGCGGGTAGCACGCTCGTAGATTCTCATGGCATGTCTGGCCAGACCGCGCTCCTCTTCCAGGTTGCCGTACATCAAGTAGAGAGGCTTGGCAAATTTGGGAGGACATCCGTCCAAAGCCTGTTCGAACAGATCACGGAGTCGCTCGATTCCAATCTTCCGGTCAACGGCCTTGGTCAGGTAGAGATTCCACAGCTCGAATGCAACTGGGTAACTGAAGAGATCCAATCCACGTTCGTAGACCTTGAAGGAGTCTTCGAAGTATTTGTTCTCCTCCAGAAGATTGGCGTAGTTGACGACGGTTTGAGGCGTAGCGATACGCAGCTCGAAGATCCTTTCGTACACCTTCTTGGTCTCCTCCAGGGAGGACACACTTTCTACCAAGTCGACATAGAAACTCCATAACTTCCAGCTCTTGTGCACACGTTGCTGAGGCGAAAGGTTCTCGTCGAAATAGTCCACAGTCGATTTCTTCGGTGCTTGCGTTGCCTTCGCCATGATCTCCACGGCCTTGTCGAAGTTCTCGCTCCGGAGTTCCATTTCCGCCCACTCGCACCATGTCTCGGCGAGTTCAGCCACTGACTTGAAAGGTACCTTGACAGCCTTCTCGAAGATAACTCTAGCTGTATCCAAATCACCTCCGTTCTCGTAGAATTTGGCATAGTTTACCCAGAGCTCGGAGAATTTGCCGTGAGCCTTCTTGGGGTTGATAGCTGCAATAGCCGCTGTGTATGTTTGCACGACTTCGTGCTTGTTGTCTCCCCAGAGGGCCACTCTCTTCTCCCACTCGATGACATTGTTAGGGTTCTGCCTGAGAAGCACATCGTTAACGAGGAACGGTCGTCGATCCATCAGTTGCTCAAATCGCATCATCCGCATATCAAGGTCGAAGTCGGCTTCCTCGTCACTTTGCCCTTTGTCAGTTCGGGTTGCTGCTGACTCCATCAAGCTTCCAATAATAGACTCCTCGAATTCGACATAAGAGTCAAAGATCAGGGTAAAGTCTCTGACTGTCATGACCGTCGTGATACCTTCCTCAAAGACATCTCTAGCTTTCTCGAAATTGCCTCTGGTGATCCAATACGTGGCCAAGCCTGCCCACAGCTTGCCCCTCTGTTCGGCAAACCGGTCAATGCCGCTGCGCAAAATGGCGTCGACATCGATTCCTACCTGAGGGCCAGTCTCGATCTGCTTCGCCTTTGATACCAACAAGTCAACCATCTCCGTCCACAGCTGAAAGTTACTCTTTCCTTCCTTGGACTGGAAACGGGGGTTGTCGAGAATCTCCATGTACCGCTTCACGGCCTCCGTGTACTGGCCCATGTCGACGAGCAATTGAATATACTCCTCGGCATTCTCAGGGTGAATCTGCATGTACCGAGCCCAGATTTTCACAGCAGTCTGGCCTGACGCGGAACGCGCAAAAGTCTTGTAGAGCTTCCAGATCCGATTGTGTTGTGTGATTGGCAGAGCTCGCAATGCACGATCGAACGTCCGTCGAGTTTGCGTGACAAGAGGCTGCTGGAGCAGGAAGGAGAGGTACATTTCCCATATCCGCGGCATCTTATTGAGCAGGATGAGAGCACGCTCGAAGAGCGCGTTGACTTTCTGGTACTCGGCCCGATAAACAGTCGCGTTGCGGCCCTTTAGGTGGTGTGTCCGGAATTCGAGGTACTGCCTCTGGTCAGCTGTATTCTGACACCACCATGTGACACGGAATATAGTAATATGAGGGGTTCCGCAGGTAGAAAAAGAAAGGTTCCATACCATCTTCCATAGCTTGTAAGATCTCGGCAATTCTCTGCACGCACGCTCCATGACCTGCACATAAATTTGGTTAGCACGTATATCGGGACGTCATCGCGACGGCAGAGAAAACGTACAAAGGCTTGCTCGTAAAGCGTGCCATGTTGCTGTTTATATTCGATATAGGCAAGCCATGGCTTGATGCTACCGGGACTGCGAAGGAGATCCTGTTCGTAGACAGTATCCTGATCGGCCTGAAATCACATCGCACAGTTAGCCAGGGTTGTCTGGTAAATCAATGGATGCGTTGCCCCCACTTACAATCAGGTAGAGGTCCGGCCCTGAGGCCGACGTTCGGTCCATCTGAGCGTGTTGCCGGTGGGATCTCGGGGGCAGGATTGTCCCTGGCATTGCGCCACTCAATCGAGCGGGACCAACTCACACGGTCAACACGAAATCCGCAGAAAAGGGGGTCGCATGAACGGGTAAAGCTTGTCTGGTCGCGCGGGTTGGAGAAAAGCGCCGAGCGCTGCGGGCGATGAAGTCGGACGTTGTGCACGTGACCGGCAGTCATGCGGGCGGGCACGGGGTGGTCCAAGCTCACTATCGCGCATCGTCATCGCATATCGCGGCCCTCCCTCCTCGCTGCAGCTATCGTGGCCTTTGTCGGGTTTGGAGTGGCCTTTCTTGTTCCCTCTTTTTTCATTTTTGTTTTCGTCTGCATCAATCATGTCGGGTGCTGTGGTATGTCCAGTTTTGATCCTCCGGTCTCCTTTCCAGAGCTATGCGGGGGCCTGCATACTGACTACACTTACCTATTCAGGGCCGTGAGGCAGTCTTTCCGACTCGCCAGTCGTTGGGGTTGATGAAGGGTAAACTAAAGGGTGCTGAGACTGGACACAGTTTGTTGAAGCGGAAGAGTGAGGCTTTGACCAAGTATGTTCTTTGACTGGCGCTATCTAATTGGATCTTGTTATCACTAACCCGTCCCGATCTACAGGCGTTTCCGGGGTATGACAGCCCTTCGAAGCTCCCTACCATGTCGGACACTAACCCCGGTGTCTAGAGATCACTCGGCGCATCGATGAGGCCAAGCAGAAGATGGGACGGGTCATGCAAATCGCCGCTTTCTCGCTTGCCGAAGTCAGCTATGCGGTCGGAGGAGATATTGGCTATCAAATTCAGGAGTCCGCCAAGCAGGCCCGGTTCCGTGTGAGGGCCAAGCAAGAGAACGTCTCTGGTGTCTTGCTCCCTCATTTCGAGAGCTACACGGAGGATGGAATCAACGACTTTGGCTTGACGGGTCTCGGAAAGGGTGGTATGCAGGTCCAGCGCTGTCGGGAGACCTATGCCAGAGCGGTGGAAACGCTAGTGGAGCTGGCGAGTCTACAGGTTGGTTTTTACACTCGTGTCGTTGGTCAGACGAGCTAATGCTGTTCTTAGACCGCATTCGTGATTCTAGATGAGGTCATTAAGGTGGTGAACCGGAGAGGTACGTGCTACTGTCAGAACTTATATCGTTCATCAAGCTAACTCGTCACAGTCAACGCCATGTAAGATATGCAGCGCTTCGCCCATTAACCCAGATACTAACCGGTTACAGCGAGCACGTCATCATTCCTCGTACTGAAAACACCATCAAATGTGCGTATCCCTGCCCTGACATCTTCCTCCCCACTAACACCACCCAGACATCAACTCGGAGCTGGACGAGCTCGACAGAGAAGAGTTCTACCGCCTGAAGAAGGTTTCCGGTAAGAAGCAGCGCGACAACGCCGCTGCAGACGCAGAGATCCTGGCTGCACGGCAGAAAGAGGCAGCCAGGCTGCAGGAGAGCGCGGATGCTGAGAAGAAGGAAGAAGAGACACCTGAAGCACCCGACGTCCTCGGAGAGCAAGAAGATGCCGACGTGATTTTCTAGGCGCCGTTCAGATTCCCTTTCGCCCTGTAACTAGTACCTCCCTCACCTACACTTTCTAGCCTGGAGCAGTTCTTTTTCGTCACTTCATATGCTTTACACTGTCAGATATCACACCGCCAGCCAAATGATTTACCTCAAAAAGAGACATCAGACATGCTTTCTTCCCAGATACCATCCAACAAATCAAGTAGGTAGTAATAGTAATAAAACAAGAGACATACTAGACACGAGGGAGAAAATAAAATAGAAATACCCACCCCAACGCCAAACAAGCCACAACCACCCCAATCATTGTCTCTGGTAAGTAACGCGAATGGGCTTTCCAGCCTCTCCCATAGACATCCCCGACGTCGCCTCCTTGGCACTGATAGCCCCAGACTCGTTCTCGTACTCGACGAACGCGATACCCTTGCGTCCCGGGACCAACCGAACCTCCTGGAATCCCTCGAACCGACCAAACACAGCCGTCAAACTGTCCTGATCCGCAGTATCGGGCAAATCGCGCAAGAAGAGAATCTTGTTCGGAGGCAAATACTCGTCCGGAATAACCGCCGCCGCAGCCCCACTGGTAGGCTTGAGCCCAGCGCCCTTGGCAGTTTTCGCAGGACGACCAGGTTCCGTAGGTGCACCGGGGGGTCGCTTGAGCTTTTTCTGAGCTTCGAGGGCTTCGTGCGCTTGTTTGCGTTCTACACCACACACATGACACATTAGCCATTTCCACCAGAACAAGACAACAATAAAGGCAAGGAAAGGGGATAAGCATACCCTTCTCAGCCAGCCTCCGTCTCTTATGCGCCTCCAACTCATCCTCCCCGCCCTCACGCAACACCGTCATATCACTTCTCGTCTTCGCGTAATCCAACACCATGGGTTTATCGAAGAGTTCAAAGCCATTGATTTCGTCGATGGCGCGGGTCGCCGCCTCCACGGTGTCGAAGACAACAAACGCCTGTCCTTTCGCCTTCAGGTTCGTTTTCGCGACGATTTCAAGTACCGTGCCGTATTCGGAGAAGATCTCTTCCAGCGCTTCTTTTAGCTGGTCGACTTTGATGCGCTCTTCAAGGTTGCGGACCTATATTGTTTCGTTGATGTGTTAGAGGATTGGTGAAGTTTTGGGATTGGGGATGGTGGGGGAGGTAACTGTACATAGACTCTGTGAGCTGGTGGTTAGTTGCTGTTATTGCTATATGGGTTTGTTGCGATGCGGGTTCGGAGGATGAAGAAGAGATGGGGGGAATGGCTTGGACTTACGTGCAGTTTGGGGGTATCGGGGTGGGCGCTGTTATGGACGCCATTGTTGATGTGATTTTTTGTGGGATGTACCCTTGTTGGTGGAGGAGTTGGAGGATTGGTGTGAGAGCTCTCGGAATTACCTACCTGGAGTAGGTCTCGAACTGTAGATATGTCGGCGACGGGGCCGGTGGATGGGTGCCGCTTTAGCGGGTGAGCTTCGAGTCAGGTGATTGCGGTGCGGGAGCTGATTGGCCCTTACTTATACTAAATATGGAGTTTTCCTTCATCACAAGAGCATCATTGGTCTAGTGGTAGAATTCATCGTTGCCATCGATGAGGCCCGTGTTCGATTCACGGATGATGCACAGCAACTTCTTTTTTGCTTGCTGTCCTTCTATTCTGCCGCTACTTTATAGTAGACTTTGTGGCTCAGTCTCTTTTCCGTTTCTAGATTATCATATGCAAGACTGAAAAGTCGCCAATTCATGGGATATCCCAAACTGCGAAATGCGCTAATTACAACTCAATGTCTTCCTCAACTTCTCAACCTGCTCTTTCAACTGCTTGGTCGGTTTGGACCAATCTTCCGTCTTGACTACTTCAACCTCCGTCTCTATGTATATATACTCGGCCACAGTGTTACGTACCTATTCTGATTAGCTGTAAACACCGCAGAAGAATTGCAGGACTCACCCTAGGGAACGGATGCAGTAGCAGCGCCGTCATTTTCTTGATCACTTCCGTATGTAGCTGCTCTATCCTCGACAGAGGTGCGTAAGCCCGGACTGCCGCTTCGAGTCGAGCGATGTTTGGAGATTTGAAGTGCGCTCTTTGGACGAGGACAAATAGCTTCCGCAGACTGTTACTTGTTAGCTGACATCGCAGCCTGAAAAAGGGAGACAAGTACCTTGGGATCGAATCGTCCGGCACGGAAGAGACAAAGCTGTCTAATAGGAACGCCAAGACCTCAAGCACAGGAATTGCGAACCGATCATCTTGCAGGTTCTCGCCCAATATGGCAGCCAGGTCCTTGATTATGGCCATTACTGCAGCCTGCGGATCTTCTGCTTCTTGAATGCTCTGTACCAGAGCTGAGCGAGACGACCGAATCAGTCCTTCGCTACCAGCAACGGCCGAAGTTGCAAGGCCTTGGAACAGAGGCTGCCGCAGCCAATCAATACTCTGCAATTGGAGCAGCTGCAGCAGATACTCCGTTGAGGATACATGACTAAAGTGTTCGTATCTCCTGATGTAATCAGTATCCTTATCTTGAAAACACTTAATAGACGCACCTTGTCAACGGCGGAAAGCCATTGGCTGTTTCCCAGTAGCCCTGAAGACAAATCCAAGCTTGTACACGTACTTTGTCGAGCTTTTCCGCTGCAAGTCGGCAAAGGCACCCAACAATATTTTGCACCCCAGGCAATTGATTGGGAAGTCTTGGTCCTGCTTCTAGGACCGTCTTTGCGGCCTGAATCGCCTCAAGCCGAATCAAAGAACCGATGTCTCCTCGCCTATCGGTCGTATAATCATTCAGAAAATGGACGAGGTGATTGAGGATTTCATCAGTTACGTCTTCGAAGCATCAGCAACTGCTTTATCTCTTGGCAATCAAACATACCTATATGCGGCAGAACACCGGTAGCCAGGCTCTTGACAGCGGCCACTCTCTTCTCGATTAGTTCTTCTTTCTCTGCACATTCTATGATGCTGTCTATGATAGATTTTCTGAGAGGACTGTTCTTGTCAATTTGTTTGAACACTGTGCCCAGGGCCGTGATCTGGCCGCGGCCCGTTGGCAGGTTCCAGGTAGTATGGATGTGGGAAAACCACCCCTGAATCATCTTCTCTTGTTCGTCAGGGGGTAGAAGAGGTAGAATTTCGGATACTGCATCGGATGAGCTCTCGATAGAAGTGTCCTCGCTCCGTGATATGCATAGCAATAGCGTTTCTTGGGCCTTGCTTAGTAAATCCACTGAGGGTTGAGAGATTCGTGGTTCACGGGCCAGGGTAACTGATTGAGCAAGAGAACAGATCAATTGAGAAGAGGCCTCCGCTGTCAGTTCAGGTCGGAAAGTCTGAAGGGTGAGGTCGTCTTTGGTTGGTCCAAGCGAAGAGCCAAATATCTCCCAGGCCTTGGCCACATAATGCGAGACACTCGTAACGTCCGATGCATCTACGGGATCCCTCTCACGGTGGGCGTTGAAAGCGTCAACCGTAGCCGCGATGGCCAAGAGACAGCCGTGTCTAGTCTCCACGTCACTGTGTGGAATACTAGATAGCCTATTCAGCAGCCGCTGGAAAACCTGTTGCATTGTTTTGTATGACTGCTGCGTACTCAAAACTCCGATTGCTTTGGCTGCATGCCTGCGAGACTCTGCGTCAGGCGAGCCAATACCTCGCCAGTGCATCAATGATTCGACAAGGGGGCTCCAGTAATGGAGGCTGAGAGCAGCGGTCGCATTGGCAACATCGATCATTGCCCGCGAGCGCCGAGCCACCGCATGGTAGTCTACAACTTGCACAAGCGGTATACCTTCGGCAATTGTGTTGGGATGACGCCCGATGAGCTCTTGCAGGGCTGCGGAAGCGCCCCTCCGAATATTTCCAGACGGGTCAACGCACGCGGCACACACAAGTTCGATCGCTAGCATCTGCAATGTGCTTTCTTCTTCACCTTGAGCTGTGGCTGTGCTGATTGTCTGCGGTTTCAAGGCAAGCAGTTCCTGGGTGGTATACTTGCGAGACAGCGCCCAAATTCCGAAACACGAGGCGTCGCGTACACCTGTTCCGACAGAGCTTCCAGTTGATGACCGCTGCTCGAAGTCAAGGCCCGAAACAAGTGGTTGAAGCACATCGCTAAGTTGTTGGGTAGGAGGCGCACGGCGAAACAAGAGATGGCCGAGCGTCAAGATCAGCCCCTGCCACCTCTGAGCGTCGACTGCGCTCAAATTTCGTTTCAACGTGTTGATCCCTATCCTCCGTGCCTCCAGCGGTGTCACTATGGCCCCGTCTCGCTTCTCATATAGGATGTTCTCCTCCAGAGAGCCGGTAACAGCCTCGATGACCTCCGCGGCCATATCTGGATCCAGCTTCAAAGTAATAATACTTAGGGCCTTGCTCGCTGCAAAGCGTACAGGGGTATCCTTATCAGCAAGAGCGACGAGGAAGTGATCAATTGCATCTTCCAAAATTGTAGAAACCTGATCATCCGAGATTGTACTGTCTCCCCTCTCACTGAGCGACAAGGCCATGACTGTTACCGTACGCAAGATTTTGATAATAGTCTTCCGTGCCAAAGCAGAAGACTTGATAACGTCTGAGACAGCTGAGTTGCCCTGCAGAATTTGCAGCGTCTGTCCAAAGACGGGAGACACCAGGGGAGCAAAGTCCTCCACCTGGCCCGACGCACCCAGGCGAGCGATGAAAGACAACACGCCAATACACGTGTAGACTGAAGGAGGTTCAAGATTACCTGTAGGCTGAACCACCGAAAACGCCCAGTCCGTCAGATTAGTCAAAAGCCCAAGCGCCTGCATATCACGCCGAAGCACCAGTCGTGCCAAAACAATTGTAGCGGCTTCCCGCTCTTTACCTGAGACGTTAACATAATTCAATGCCACAGAAAGTAGAGACTTTGCAACCACTGGTGTGTGGTTTGGCATCTGTTTCAAAGTCCCAAGGTTGTCATACGGAACCGGGATATCATCCGACGACATCGAAGCCAGGTCAAAGGGAGCAAGTAACAAATGCGACAGCCAAATCAGCATTACATATCGCTCTTCCCAGACCAGTCGCAGGGGAATGTCTCCAAGGCCTAGGTCAGGTTCATCTTTGACAGCGTCCCATTCAACGAAAGCGCGGAGTAGCGGATCAAGATACTTGGGCTCATTGTTCAGGAACCTGCTGATAACTTTGACGCCACGGACTTTGCAAAAGGTGTAAAGCAGCCTGCAGATTGCTCTTGGAAGAGGATACGCTGTCTTCTGACCTTGCAATCCTGCGGGCTTTGTCGCGTATTGATCGCGATGCTTCAGCAAATACGCCAGGAAGGCATCAACTAAAGGGGGTAAAAGGGCCTGCAGGTGGGGGTCCAACAGCTGCGGCCACTCCTGAAACGGCTCCAACTACAAAGTGGTCAGCTGTAACTACAATAAAAAATCGTGGACTAGACATTGAGATTAGGCACGGCGTGGGCAGCTTGCTTACCAGGCCGACGAGTCTTTCTGTTTTTGCGGCGGGGGTCCATCTCCGTGGAATGCGGGTGTTTGGCTGTTCGGGTCGACTCTTCCAAAGGAGAGATGGCAGTTTCTCGGAAAACTCTTGGACGAGGTCTCCAGAGGCACGCTGGAGCTTAACCTCCCTATCCTCGGCCGCATCCATGATGGAGTGCCACTAAGTCTACTGAAGCGTTGAAAGCATCGAATCAGGAAGATTGAAGTCGCCGCGGGGATTCCATCTGCTGGTTTGCGCTTAGTCATCACTATACAGATCGAGTCCAAGTGCATAATCATCCTTCTTAAACCAGTTCAACATGATTCTAAGTCCCTATTCGTACAGAATTATTCACTCTAATAGATATCCTTGAAGCTAATCTGATATAGCTATTGGCTCAGATTATCGATCCCGGAAATGATGTCGCCTACTACTAGTATTAGTCTGAGTCACATTATATATTTCTCTCCGACCGCCTTACCTGTTTGGCTACTATGAGGGTTCAAAGGTACTAGCTCATACCCCGATATTGATCAAACCCCAAATTTTATACACTTACTAGATAAATATAGGTAAGTAACGAGTTATACGGAGTCTACATTAAAAAAAAAAAAGCAGATCCATGTATGTAGAGGAAACCCCTGTAGATGATATTCACGATTCTTCTCAAAACAGCATGGAATTGCATGATTCGCATTTTGGAGCACTATCACCAGCTGTATAGATTCACCATGTGTTGAATGATGCCTCGTCAGGGGAATGTAACGACTCAGAGTTACGATGAAGAGTAAATTCGATTCAGTGACGATGCGATCACAGTGAAGTCTCCAAAAGACCCGGTCTATATAGAGGCCTCAAGCACCCTGCCTCTCCAACTTCCCAAAATAATCTGCCACGATCTCTATTACATTATTACAAAGCTATAAAATAATATTCATATCTAAGTTCTTACTGTCAAACAATGACATGCCGGGATACTTCTTAACTTAACCCTCAATCGCAGGAGCACAATAGCATCTTCATGAAACCCAAGATACAAAGATATCCGTACCCGACGACAAGGATATTGACCTACGAGGTACCACCAGGGTAGGCCGACTTAGTGGCCAAGTATATCTCAGCTACGGTATGTCAGTTGTTTGAGAGAATGTGGAAACCTGTCTGACCGTATCAAAAGTCCGACATCAAATCCTCGAGAATCGGTCTTCTGCACCATTCCGTACTGCGTGCGGGATCCTCGCTCCGCATAGTGAGAGCTTGAGACATGACAGCCTTTGTTTTGTCCTTCGCTCCAGCTATATTCTCTATATGCTCGTGCTTGGCCCTTCTGGCCTCGTTTGATCAAAGAGCCACCACGCGACTGCGGCATGTTCGAGCAGCGCTTACAGCATGGTTCACTATATGGACCAACAATCAGTTGATATAACTAGCGAGGCATGAGACTGGATAGCTCATTGGCGCAGTGTCTTCATTGGAAAATGTTTCTCTATTGAACAGACCTCGAAGGCTTGTTCCCCAGCTCAGGGCTTTCTGAATGAGGAAAATAGAGTGGAAGTGGCTGTTCATTGGTTAAGAACCCCGGTGAGCCACATCAACAGACAGTACGAGGAGAGTACCAGACAGAAGCCGGGATATGGGGAGTATAGGCGTGCTCGGTCTACCATTCCAACTTTACGTGGGTTTGTAACCTGGGCCCGGACTGCACCGTGTGAATAAGCCAGAAGAAGACGTGTTACCGCGTGAACACGTCCACGAACTTAATTACACCAAGCACACAACGATTGATGAAACAAAACACAAACAGCAACAGCAGATGGCATTTTGGGTAGCATCCTGAAGTGGTTTCAGAAAGACTGGGCCAGGGCTACCCGGTGCTACACAAGTGTGGCTTTCCGGATATGATGGAGAACCTTTGTTCCCAAGACCACACATTTGTTGTTTGTGTCGAAAACACCAGACTCCAAGTCTCTGCTCCGTAGGTCGGGGTAGAGAGAGATAAACACGAGACTACTGGGGCTGGGTCCCTCTGTGACTCGGAAGACGAGGCATAAGCTACAAGTTACTGGGATTACCGGCTCAGCCAACAGCTAATCTGATAGATATCCCCAAGCCGTGGCACATTGGTCGCCTGGTGCTTAACAACATCAAAATCAATTAAGTTCTGGGATATCTCAAAGAAACACCTCAGGAAGCGACTTGTAATCGTTACAAGTACTCCAACGCCGTGTATTGAGCGGAAATACTATCGACTGTCCTTGTGAGTGAGATGCGATGTTGGGAAGACATGAGCGATGCAAGACAACCGATGTTACTTGACATTGCTATATAGGGTTATAGAGTCTTCCTCTTCTTCGACCGCAATATCGAGCAAAAAGCGCAAAGCACAACATTAAATGCTAGTCGACTCTTTTATCATCCGGAACCTTGGGTGATACAATCGCTTTCGAAAGTGCCGAAACCCCTCACGCTCGAGAGCACCCATGGATAGCATCAAGAAGGCTGTTCATGTAAGCATCTACTGGATTGTCACGATGGCGAAGGGGTCTCGCCCCCCAAAGCGACACATGCCCGTGAGCATGAAGTTCAACTCCTGTATACATTGTCTTCGCCACGCGATCAACAACTACAAATCTGCACAAGGAGTTCCTTTTGATATCGGGTGCCAAATGGATGCGCGTGCATCTCTTCTGTGTAGCTTCTGTTCCGAGAATAATAAGCTACGCGAACCAGTGACTTTCGCGCGCTCCCCTTTACTTAGTGTACTGACTGAGATGTCAAGAACTCGGCGATGAGAATGACCTTTTCAGCTACACTACGCATCCCCGGGTCTTATTGCTTGGTTCAATATTCTTCGTATACGTCCCGGATACTAAGGTCAGCTTGGATCAATGGTCGACAGCGTCGGTTGATGGTTCCACTTCCATCGCACGATACGAAGAACCTCCGCCCTCAGCGAAATGTTTCCATCCGGGACGATACAAGTTCTTCATGCACTGTCTTCGACGAGTCAATGCCAACTATGGCTCTGCTGAAGCTGCTCTGTATGACACTGGATACTATCTTAATGATGGGGCTTCCGTGCTTTGTCAGTTCTGTTACGGCGGCAAAGGGACATGCGATCCAGTACGTTTCGCACCCTCCCTGCCTACTGATTGTGGACTAATACCATGGAGATTGTGCCAGGAATGCCGGGTAACGTCCACGACTTAGCGGACATAATCAAGTGGTCCACCTTGGTCTTGAATAAGGAGAATTGGGACGACGACGCAAGCTATCGATCCGGAAAGAAGCACACAAGCAGGCGATTGCTTTTTGGCAATGCCGAGGGCACGCACGCCCTTGAACACTTAAAAAGGAAATGTGGTAATAGAGCACGAAGATCCGAAACCATGTTCTCGATCTTCCTCAATCTATCTTTTTATTCAATATAAAGGGATAGCACAGGACAGAGGCTCAAGGCCAATCATACTTTCTGACCTGAATCCAAAGTTGACCACACAGCGATGAACTGCCGTTTGGCTGGTCTCCGTACCACGATATGGGCATGTTCACAAACGAATAGCGGAAAATGCCAAAGAAATCGCTGGCTTTCTTATTTCTCGCTTAATTAAATCACAGCGGGTATCAAGGACGGTCATGATGAACCCACTATGATCTAGCCGCCTCGCTGCCTCGCTGCGTGGCTGATGATTCGAACGCCAGGATATGATTATAACTCCAAGGGAAAGCACCAAGCGACAACAATAAAAGATGTGCCTCTACGAATATAGAGTGTTACTAGCGGCTTGATCAGGGACTGGCGGATTTCACACAGACCATATAAAATGCCGCCTGATCTCGACATCGAAGAAGCGGAGGCTTGCTGGCGAGTTGATCAGCGGTTCCTATACCACGACTACATGCACCAATTATATCTAGTTGGCAAAAGCGCCAAGTTCCAGTGAAAGAGAATCATCCAAAATCATCCGTCTCTGCCCATCACATAAAAATGCATAACCAACAAGGACGAAAGATATTTTAGTACTTCCTTGACGATATACTGGCTATCCGAATGGTTCGCTGGTGGTTGGTGGTGGCCACCACATAACCCTTCTGAAGCCGACAATATGTTCAGTTTGACACATGCTTCATATCCCAGGTCTTTTATACAATTACACTTCATATTAATTCAAAAGTGTCATCAGCGAGGAAGCGACCCTACGCTAAGTGGCAACCTAACTATGGCCTTGTACGGCCACTAATAGAGGACGTCTGATCCCAACTTCCCTGGAGAAGATTCGCGAGAAGGAAGTCGTTGTTGGCGAAGACCAGGCTGAATCATTCTACTAGAAGTTCAAGAAACCACCCAGGACCCGTCTTAAGCAAGATACTCAACAACTGGCCGGGATGTTAAGAGGCTCACCCAAGATGAGATTTATAATTGGAATACTGTGTGACAAGATTCTTCTCTAAAATGAGAAGGCACTCGTTTGGACCTGGTTTTCAGGCAAGGAAGTCTACGTGTATGCGACTTTCAAGGCGGCAGGTGTTGATTGCAGGATGCTTCACTCTGATCTTGGTCACAGCGAACGTCAGAAGCCCGTGAGCAACTTTAATGAGCACCAAACTAAGGACATGATTCTCATCATGTGCTATATGGTGAACTCAGCGGGGCTGAATCCGCATTGATTTCGCAGAAACGCCCTAATCTTCAGCATGACTCTCGCCCGGCCCATTGTTAAACAGGTAATCGTCAGGGTATCCAGATTCAGCCAAACCCATATTGCTCAAGTCATCGACTCTAGGGTCCCGGACTCTTTTCAGATAGTTCTCACCAACCGCGCCACTGAAAAGGCGCTGCCCGGAATGATGACTGATATGTCATTATCACACTCTTCTTTACCAGTTACAGCCTGACGATGAGTTTATGGTCGCTACTTCATGGGCTATCCGAGACCGTCGGTTTATATGGCCATCTGGTAGACCTCCCGATGGTCACTCAAGCATCACACTGTCATAGATGATCTGGATGATGTTACAGTCCTTGATACTGTGGAGATATGGGCATTTCCCTGGAGTCCACGACAGATGTTATTTGGGATCTGTCGTGGTATCTGGTAAATTAGCCAAGGTGACTACAAGATCTGAACAGCTTTATTTCATGAGCTATTGTTAGCAATGATATTGACCGATAGCCCGGTATTACTGGTTGGCAGATACGTCCCACGCTTTTCTGGCAGTTAAGGGTGGTGGTAAAGTCGACTTGACTTTCTGTCTGCCTGTCTGTGGTTTACATGTGCATAGAACTGGGGTGGGATTGGGATGTGGCGGAGTTGATAATCACAACTATGACCCCAACGAGGGGAATTGCATTTGATATCAGATGTCATATGAAAGCACACGCACGTCGATCCTTTGTTCGCTCATGTTCCCACCCCAGTAAGCATTGTCTTATCGATCAATACACACCTATCTAAGCCATAACATCGATTATCGAATTGGGCCGCTGATGTGATGTCCTCGAACAGAACCATTGGGACACTGAATGGCACTCGCCATCGTGAACTTCCGTGCGTCAACTTCAAAAAGCTGTACCTAATGCCGGGAGATCCTGGATACATTCTCTGGACAGCAGCGAAACGGTCCTTTCGCGTGGCAGTTACGGAGGCCCTCAAGTGGCAATTCGAAGGTGATGAGCTTGACGATGTGCTGAATGATGTTCTTTCGACCTGGCCAGTTGTTATCGGGGAGTTGGGAGAGCCGTTCGGGCTAGTTTCGCTGGTTGACCACCAAAGGATCGCAGCGTGGGGTGATCTTGGTACGCATGAGCGCCGCCTGAGCATAGTGGTACATAAGAAGATCCTGAGCCTGTCCCAGGCGTTTGAGAAATGCCGAGCGGGGGCGCACGCGATTGAATCTGGCATGAATGACGCCTCAAGAATTGCTTGTCAAGCGAGTCAGTTATATACTTGCAATATAACAGGACTTGCGAGATACCCTGGCGACTCGTCGGGGGAAAGTATTCCATAGGATTCCAACATGCAATGGAATATACGAGAAGAGAAGTTTATTGCGGCTGGCTCGTTGATACCTTCTTTCTTTTGTAGTATTTGTGGTTTTATGTGCTACTAAAAGGGAGAGGTTTAGGGCATGAGGTGGATTATTATATGATGGTGCATATGATATGATATCAGTTCGAGATATATGCGTGGAATATGTGCATCAGGTACTGTATATTCAAATATTATTACTATGGTATCGTAATACCAATCAGGCAATAAACCTATATTAAATCATCCATCCTACATCATCATTGGACCCACCACCACCTCCTTCGTAGACCTCAAATAGGATATGTACTGGAAAGCCCGGACTCAGAGGGGGCAGATTAATAGCACAACAGCAGGGTCATTATCGACCTTACACTTGTAGATACGACCTCAGGGACTAGTAAAGTATCATTTCATTGGAACATCTCGAGACAATTAAGTAGCTGAACTATCTAAAATGCACTGCAGTTTAAATCGCCCCATGCAATCCCAAACCCATAACAAACAAAACTATCACTAACCCAACGATCAATCAACGATCAACATCAAAAGCCGAAGGACTACGCTTCCGACCAGGCCGATAACTCCCCTTCCCTTGATGCGCCAACATCAACATAGTCCGACGAACATGCATCACCGTAATAGCAATAGCTAAGGAATTCCACACGTCCTGGCCGCGTTCGGACAAGTCAAACTGAGAGATGAACCGACCGTCTTCTTGGCCGTTGCCGATTTCTCGAGGATTAGTACTATGGGTCAAGATGGCGACGATGGGACCGCAGATAATGAACCCGGTGAGAAGGGGGAATTTGGTGACCTCAAGTATATCCGCCATCTCTTTCACGGTATAGGTGTTATTTGCTACGCCGAGGTCTTCTTGGTGCTGCCGGGTAAGTTTCTGGAGTCTTGTGTTCATCTTTCGGACGGCCGTGATGGTTTTTTCGTGTTTCTTTTGAGCGTATATCACATGGACTGGCAGTGCATCTTTTATGGTATCTAGGTTCACGTCAAAGAGAGCCCAGGATATGTACTTCTGGATCGCTTGCTTGATCAAGGGTTCGGGTTGCTGGTGTAGAATGTCGCAGTCGCGGACACGGCCTCCGACGGCAAATAGACTTGTCAAGGCTTTGATAGCTGGATCTTGATTAGAATCTGTCTCATAGCAGAATATCGTCTGTGAGAACTTACCATAGAGGTTAGAGCTTCGAGTGACGTCGATAATCGGCTTATCATTCTCTTCGGAGCTCCTAGGATACAAAGATTCAGGCAGTGTCGGAAAGTCATATCGCCAGCTTCTGGGGATAACTGGCTCGAATCCGCGCATGGCAAGGCGAAAGAACAAATCCTTTTCTTCCTCGTTGAAGAGACCCTTTGGTACGTTAATGGCACTGGCCCAGCGCTTGGCTCTTTCTACCGAAAAGTCAAAGACAATACCCGTCTTCTCCGTATGATGAATAGGCCGGTCTTGATACTCTTCATTATCATCTTCTGTAAAGTCGGCGGGGTTTGCATTTTCGGTTTCAATGGACTTTATTGGAGTTGCCTCCGGTTCGGGAGACACTGATTCACCTGGAACATACTCCTCGTGTTCCTTCTTCGGAGTCTTCTTCGGGACAGGGCGAGCACGAGGAAGCGCAGACGAAGTGATTGCAGCTCTAGTCATAATCTTCTTTCGAAGAGTTTCCGGCGTCGGATATGGGATCGCACCTAGATCCGTCGTTGCATGATCCTTCTGTGAGAACCCAGTCACCCCATGTCGATACACGGGATCAGTTTGGGCAGACGGCGTAACAGGAACCTCTGCCTTCACCGGCTTCTCAGGGGTCAGACAACGAGCATCAACAGACGATGCTACTGCAGGATGTGGCATCACCCTCCTTTTCTTGGAAGCCCTGACCGTCGCTTCTTCACCCTGGCTGCTATCACCATCATCTTCTTTTCCAGGCAAGTATGTAGTATCCACATTCGGTCTCCTCTTCCTATTTCTCTGAGCAACCCTGTCGATGAGCTCACTAGGATCAATCTCATTCGCATCTGGATTGAAGACATCATCTTCCTCCTCATCTTTCGGAATGTATGTAGCATCTATATCCCTTTTCTTCTTCCTAGCCCGTCTAGCATCATCAATCTTCAGTTCATTCGGATCAACCTCATCCGCATCCGAAACAAACTCCTCATCATCCTCTTCGACCTTGATATTCTCATGAATGTACTCCGGATCCTGCTCCGCTGGGACCGGCGCGCTCCTCCTCAGAGAGCTCCCTGAAGATACAGATCGCGCAGGAATAGTCATCTTTGCGTTGATTCCCGGAGAACGAAACAAAGAGGGAAAATTGTCGCTGATGCTATTGCGTGGTTTCGTCGCTCGTTGTACAACGGTGGATACACTTGGGACAAAGCGATCACGATGCAAAGGCGGAGTTGGCAAGAACGGCGATATATATGGCGAACAGAATGGAAAGGCTGAATCAGTCGATAAGAGGCTCTCGAAATCGGACGAATCAAGCTCTGTAAGGTTCGGGTCGGTGTCGGTGTCGGGGGTTAACGGTGTTGGTTCGGAGGCATTTTGAGGCGGGAGTGAGGAGAGTAGCTCGAAGAGGATTTGAGAGGAAGACATGATGTCTTTGTCCTGTAGCATCGATGATTCTGTAAGCAGGGGCTCCTTGGGTGATGCTTTGTTAAGCTGTGGACGAAGTGTTGGACGTTGGACAAAGAGGGACAGAACAAACAGAAGAAAGTATGTGTTTGGGAGACCGAGACAACATACTGGTCTGGAGCAACAATGGACTAAGCTCCAAACCTTGGGAGGAGTAACACTGCAGTCACTGGGTGAGACAAAGGATAAATCCAGTGCCTCCCCTCCGCATCTCAATTGTGGTGATTAATGGACAAAGAAATCTGAAGAATCGGCTCTATGAGCATCTACATTATATGCTATTCCAGATGCATTCTTTCACTCGTCGGTTCCGCGTCTTCCATTCAGTCATACAGCATTAAACAGTGAGTCGAGAGAAACGCTGAAGCAGAATTACATTCCAGGAACGGGAACTCGCCCGCAAAACAACAGGAATTAAAAACAGCCTAAGATGCTGAAGACATATAAAGAAAAAATACTCCCCAATCAACCCCTCATTCCACATTCACAAATGCCATCATAGCGCTTACACCAGCTCTCAAAACTCTTATGGGTATGTGGGAATCCTTTCAGCGCAATATGCCGAGCAGCCGGCATCAAGAATTCCGAGAATCAGATCGTGCCAATGTTGACATGAGGTAACGAGCAAACAACAGAAAGTCCGGACAACATTGAGGACGGCGCAATTACGCAAAGTCCGCGGTGTACGAGAAGCCGCGGAACTCTTCCTGCATTGCCTGGGAAAGGACTGGATACGGTGTTAGTGGGGAGACTAGCAGACACAAAATCTATCAGAATCTTACCTGATTGTACGGGTGTCAGGACAGGAGTGACGCTGGTGAACTCCTGGTCGAAGTTGCTGGTATCGGTAGGGCTGCTGATCTGAGGCAAGAACGGCGGGGGCACCCGCTTGTGGTAGATGTCATCCCAGTTAATGTTCCTAAAGAAGGCATGAGACATGACTTCTTGGGCGTCGGTAGGTCCGGAACCAAGACGCAGCTCCGGCTCACGGGTGAGGAGCTTCTGGAGAATCGAGACCGAATCGCGAGGCATGTGGATGGGATATAGCGGCTCGTCGGCAAGAATAGCATCGTAGATTTCGTCCTCGTCTTCACCACGGAATGGAGACTGCTGAAGAAGCATCTGGTAGATAAGGACACCAAATGCCCACCAATCAACAGCACGGCCATATCTCTTATCCAGGAGAATCTTTTGGAAAGTATTAGTACCGACTAGAGACGGATCACAACCATTGCACTCACCTCGGGCGCCATAAATTCCGGAGTACCACAGAACGTGCTCGTGGTCGCACCATACCACATGTTCTCCTTGCAAAGACCGTAATCAGCAACCTTGATGTGACCGTCCAGGGTCAACATGATATTATCGAGCTTCAAATCACGGTAAATGACACCGTTCTCGTGGAAATACTTGAGTGCCAGCAGGACCTCCGCAGCGTAGAACCTAGAATAATCAGCAACTTTCACTTCCGACCACTGTGCCCGTGTACAACTTACTGTGCTCGCTTGAGACCAAACTGGCCACGCTGGATGTGCAACATCAGATCACCACCGCTAATGTATTCCATGACGAAGTAAACACGAGTCTCCGTCTGGAAACAGGCGTGCAGGTTCAGCAAGAAGGGGTGACGCTCCTTGTTCGCGATCATAAAGACTCGCTTCTCGGACTTCGTGCTTTCCACTTCGTCATTCTCGATGATGAACTCCTTCTTCAACACCTTGATGGCGTACAGCCTCTTGGTGCTCTTCGTCTCTGCCAGCATGACCTTTCCGAAGTTACCCTTACCCAGGACCGCCAGGAAATTGAAGTGGTCCAATCCAATCCGGACCTTGGGCTGCTGAGGAGCCTCAGGAGGCTGCTGTGAAACCATCTGCATAGCCGGCTGCTGTGCAGGCATGCCATACGCGGCAGGAGCTGCATGCTGCATCGCTTGAGGCGGCATGCCTTGCGGGGCATTGGCGTACGGCTCGTACGCCTTGGGGTCATATGTAGGCAGCTGCGGCTGCATCGGGCGACTCTGCTCCACTGTACATTTCGAGTCAGTATCTAAGCAATGTTCAAGAACTGAAGACGTGAACGAACCTGGCATTTGCTGGGGAGAGGGCATTCCCGTCGCGACAGTAGCAGCAGCCACAGCCGCACTCGACGACGTTCTCGGGGGCATCTGCTGCCTTGCAGCGGCTGTCGGGGACTGAGGAGGCATGTACGAGTTGGTCGCTGCGCTCACAGCCTCAGCGGAAGGCTGCCGCTGAGGTGCTCCGTATGGGCTCTCGATAGGCTTCTGCGGGTAGGCCATAGCCGCACTGTCCTGAGGGCCCTGGGGTGTGCTGCTGGGCCGCAGGGTGCGGCCACTAAGACCGGAACTCACAGAGGCGGTCTTGTTATGGTTCTTGGTGCGGATCAGGGTCTCCAGGATTTGGTTGGCTGCCTCCATAGACATACCACAGAAATCAGGCACCAGATGTGTACAATGCGAGTGACAAGTAAGACCACACTCTGGGAAAAGTTAGCATATTGCGTCATTGCAAATCCTTGGATTCTCTTCTGGAAGACCGCATACCTGTGCATCGCTTGGCGTTCTTCCGCCCAAAGGGAAGCAGATAACCACAGTGACAACACCAGTTGGCAGAGATGTTGGAGAAACCCTCGAAGCGATGGGGAATGCGGTGGTTGATCTTTTCTTCGTCGGGATCGGTCTCGTAGTTGGCTTTGCTGATACACTTGGTGACAACCTTCGGGTAGCACTTCTTGTGGCAAGTGTATTTGCAGTCGGCGCACTGCATACCGGCAGCGTACTTGAGGAAGTCGCCGCAGAGGGCGCAACGCATGATGTTGTAGAACTGCTGGGTGACGAACTTGTGGCCCTGCTTCTCGTGAACCTCCTCCTTCTTCTGACGAACTGCACCCTGACGGTTGAGACCGATATCGAATGGCCGGCGGTCCTTCAATTGCTTGGCTACAGGCTGGGTCAGTACAATCGAGGTGCAGCTTTTGAACAAACCTACCGAAACTCATTGACAGGTAGATACGACCAACTGGCTCCAGCGCGAACCACGAATCGATCATGACCTGGTTCCCGCCAGGCGCTCCGGCGCTTCCATCTCCGTAGCCTTGACTCGGCGCCGCACCAGGGCCCCCGGGCCCTGATGGGTGAGCAGAGCCTGGTCCCCCAGCGGTGTCCGGTCGTCCCGGCGCACCTCCGTGCTCCATCTTATCCGCAGACACCCAACCCGATGCATTGAACTCAGACTCGATCTTCTTACGACGCATCTCTTCAGCGATGTCGGAAATGCGCACCCAAAGCATACCAATCGGCGTAGGTCGGTCACCAGACTTATCGTAGACTGTGAGCTCAATCTCGTTCGCCTTGTCAATATCGATGTTGAACGTTTCGTCCTGCCACCTGTCGATTCGTGTCGCTTTTGTCCGAGCCTTGATAGTATCTTCCACTTTCAGCACAATGAACGTCTCGGGACCTCTGGAGAACCTCGAGCTGGCGGCATGGTCGACATCCTTCACGGCGTGGATGCGGAGGGTTAGCAGACCAGTCAGTGGCTTGCGCAGATTGGGGGTGCTTAAACTCTCATCTATAGAGGTAATATTAGCACGTTAGAAAACATAACATGACGGAAATGTAAGGGGAAGCCTCAATGGCAGGACTACATACCATCGGGGGTATCCGTCGATTCGATGTCGACATGAAGATCTTCATATCGCTTAAGGGCCTGCTTCAGCAACTGAATCTTCTGGTTACTCTCAATCCGCCGGCCTTCGGCGTCCGCACGGCTCTTCCGATCACCCTCATCCTGATATAAGCGAACCATCTTCTCAATACCCGCCTTGTACTGCTTCTCCACGCTCAATTTAAATTCGAGCTGCGACAGCATGAGCTGGATCTTGGGTCCGAGATATTGAGTGTCATATTTGATCAGGTCTAGCCAACGACGACGTCAGTCCGAGAAGAGCTAATGCAACAGACAGCGACCTGAGCTCCAGCAGCTGCAGAACAGTACATACCAAGCTTTGTGTAATTGGGCCGGGCCTTGGGCACGGGAGCGAAAGGTCGCGGGTCTGCATATGGGGCCCCTGACGGCATAGAACCAGCACCACCGTGCGGGTAGGCTCCGGAAGCATCACCGTATTCCTCGTTACCCCCATAACCCGGAGCATAATCCTTCTGAGGAGGGACGGGACCAGCCTCAGGATTAGGCGGGAGACGCTTATCGGTGGGGGAACCACCACCCTCGTGCTCCATGCGACGGAGTTGCAGCTCCCGCATCTTCTCCTCCAAGTAGGCGATGTTCTTCCGGCCATCACGGATGTTCGCGTCGACTCGCTGTTGCACTAGGGGATTATCGGTCGACTGTCGCATATTCGAGGCGGCGGTGATGAGGGCCTTTTCCCGCTCGATCTTGCGGTAGACCGAGGCGATGAGATCGTCCCCGTCCATGGTGTGAGGTGTGGTCCGCGGACAATGGGAGAATCGAGGGGAATGGAACGGGATCGACGCAATGCGACCGGGGGTTGCGGGTTGGGAGAAGGTGGGGGCGTGGCCCTTATGAATACGGAGGAAAAGAAGGAAAAGACGGGAGGGAGGAAGAAGAAAGAAAGCAGAGGAAGTAACTAGATAAGTTACAAGGGGGAGAAAGGTGGGGAGAGAGGGAAAGAGAGAGAGCAAGGGAAGGGGGAGGGGAGGGGAGGGGGGGGGAAGAGGGATGAAGATGGGAAATGGCCGACGATCGGGGGAAGGAAGTTTGTTGTGGTGGTGAGGTTACGGAGAAGAAGGCAGAAAGAAGAAAAGCAACGGCAACAACAGCAGCAACAACAACAATAATAGTAGGCGTCGCGGGGCTCTTGTTGACAGTTGCAGGGAGGGGGGGGGAAAGTCCGATCGATCGCGACGACGGGATGTCAGGTCAAGTCAGCTTTCTCCAAGGCAAGCAAGGCAAGGCAAGAAAGTCCAGGGTTTAAGCCACTCGGAAAACGTGAGACAAAGTTGGGCCCGTGGCGATGAACTTGACGGCTCAGAGTTCCTAAATTCCACCTGTGGCTGAGGCCGTGTGGAATTGTGGGAAAAAAAGATAAACGGGTGTGAACTCCCAGTACCAAGTTAAGTATAGGGTTTCACTATTAAGATAAGAAGAGAAAGAGAAAGAAAAAATAGAAGAAGGTAGTAAGTCGTAAAAGTAAAAGTTAGGAAGAGGGAATAATAAACTCTGGTCAGTTCTTCATGTTATTATTTTTTCCCTAATCAATCCATTCTGTTTCCTTACCGCCCGCAATAGTCACTCCCACTCACTCTCACTCACATTCACGGTTCTTCCTCCTTCAGGCAAGCAGTCGCGGGTTCGGAATGCGATGGACTGACTGACTTAGTAACGGGATCAGGCAAAAAGTCAATCCGCACTGCTTTCCTTTCCCCATAATTGATGGACTGATCTCTGGATCGACCATCGGGGCAACGACACGGCCGGGAAGAATGATGCAATCAAAGCTATCCTTTTCTCTTCAACTAACTAGATAACTGTATCTGACTGACTGACTGGACTGGGGCTTGTTCCGCACAGGGTCAAGAGATATCAATGTATTTGCCCGATGGCCGCTATTAACTGCCGTACAGGGTCTCTGGTCCATCCATGGATGATCTGTTTCATCTTGCACGCACGGAGAATATTTGCCCAGAGGAACAACAAAAACAACCCCCAACATCAGTAACTCTTCAGCCCAGGCACGCAATTCGGGCCCAATCACCCGAGATTTCCTCGCCGGAGATGCGAGATAAACTACCGTTAAACTATAACGTCGTGTTCCCTGCCTTTTCGGCACCCTCTCCTACCACCATTTTACCGTGGTGTTGATGGAATTGGCCCGATTCTCCTTCCTCTTGTGCCGGCCTTCGGGTGTCCACTTATTGACCGTTTCCTCTCACCCTGCGTCTGCCGATAATACTAAAAAAAAAAAAAATTGTGAACTAAAAAAAAGGCAAAAAGGCACTAAACATTCTGTTTCCATGGCTGCTGCTGGGATCCTCCCCCATCAAAAGTATTGACTCCCACTTGGCATCCGAGATCTATGATCCCCTTAAACCCACAGCCACAGTACCCGTGAATGACGTCTACAAAAGGGTCGAGGTCCACCCTCCCCTCCCCTCCTCCTGTCGCCTGGATGAGGGGTTTGCTGGGGCGATTCTAGTGCCCCTTGCTCTTTTACCCACTCCCATGTCTGCACCAGGCTGCTTGCAGGTCATGTGCCGTCCGATCATCCGTCCATGGCTGCCTTACTAGCCTGGACTCCTGCGATTGGGGAGACTTATGCACCTAGAGAGACACCTGAAGAACCCGCGAAAAAGAAATTGGAAAGGCAACAGCTGAACAGCCTCAAACAACAGAAAGAACAAGAACACATTCCCGAGAAGTAGGGAGAACATACGGTATCAGAAGCGAAGGGGCATAACCACACTACAATGAACTTGTGACATCAAGCGTGACGCCGGATGACAAATTGTGACTGCACCCTGCAGGATGGCGGACCGGTTTACTCGGATCGCTTCGAGATACGAGGAAGGGACAGCCACCCCATAAGCATTACGCCGTACAATCCAATGCATATCGGATGCAAGACGTACGTGCTCACTGTTTGGGCCAGCAGACCGGTGAAGAATGGCGACACTGCTCCCCCGCTACTTCCCATGGCACTGATAATGCTCAGACTAGATGTCTGCATCGAGCGCGGCAGTAGCTTGCTGAACACTACCGTGGCGCAAGGATACACTGGTCCCAGTAGCAGACCCACTACGGCTACGGCCACGGCGTCCCCGATGATGTTGGGAATGAGCCAAGTCATGAGCTGAAAGGCAACTGACCCGAGCACCAGTAGGATGACGGATAGCTTCTCCCCGACTAGGTGGGCGGGATGCGACAGAAGAAACCGTCCAACGGTAATGCCAGCCCAGAACCCGGCACTAACGTAGCCAACCCGTGAGGGTTCCCCATGACGATAGTTGATAAGGAACGAGACAACCCAGCCGGAAATGGAGACTTCCGCCCCTTGATAGGCGAAGATAAACAGAGCCCCAAGTAGAGTGGGTCGACTCTTCAGTGCTTGCTTCAGAAGGTGTGTTCTGGCCGGCTGGGCTGGGCTGGGCGTTTGCTGAGAAGTGGTCCGATGGAGCGCCGTCAGTAATTGTGTTGGGAGTTCCTTTTCATATTTCCGGAACGCCCAAGCGGAGAACACCATGTTGATCAGCGACATGGCCAGGTTGATACTGTAGAAATAGGACCATCGGACTCCATGAGATGCCAATGCCGTCGCCACAAGCGGGCCTATGGTGCCGCCAATGCCATAAGCACCATGAAGAGCGCCCAGAGCTGCAGTGCTGTTCACAAGGTTTGCGCAAAAGACATTATTCAGGGCTAGGTTGACAGCCATGCCGAGGCCTAGCAGGAAGAAACTGGCCACGACGGCAGGGAAGGGTGGCTTGCAGACGAGGATGACATAACCAGCGGTTGTCAAGCTTGTAGCCAAAGAATAGGTCTTTGACCGGCCGAGCTTTAGCTCCAGCATCTGGGTCAAAGGGGCAGCAAGAATGAACCCCACCGCATTTGTTACAAAGATCAGCGACACGATAGCATAACCAATGTTGTAGTCTTTCTCCATGTAGGGGATGAGGGCTCCAGGAGCGCTGTCGTTCAGTCCCCCAGCGAAGTTCATCAAGCAGGCACTCAACAGCCGCCATTTTGTCATTGGCGGACTCTGTATTGCGGGAATGGAGTCCACAGCTTCCTCTCCCGGCGAAGTGGGGTGGCTTTCCAATTCCCCGGGGCTCACGGGGGTCTGCAAACCCAGTGTCTGCTGAGAGGGTACATCGGCGGTCTGTTGACTGCGTTCTCGTTGGAGACCCTCTAGTTCATGGTCCGAGGGAGCATGAGCAATCCCTTGCTTATCCTTGCGCACCACCGCTGCAGGACTCGTGATTAACGGCGGACTCTGGATGTCCACGAGAGTACCCAAGGCTGAGAACGACATTTTCAGCGGAATATCCAGTCAGTTTGGAACTCCCTAAGAGAATGAAGTACGAAAACTGGAAGGGCCCTGAGAAAGATAATTCTTTCAGGGAGCTCTGGGGATCCCCGACGTGTCGGGATCATTATTAATATCAAAGGAAGTGAATTAGTTTCAGCGGGATATCACCCCGCAAACCCCACCAGTAAGCAAACATCAAAGAGATTAGGATTCGGAAGCCAATCAGGCACATGCAAGTTTCTCGATATGATACATCCACTCCAAGTGCCGGCAGAGGTGTCCAAAACACGAGGTCAAGTGGTCTAGATGCCAGGTTTTGCCCAGACATTGTGCAGGAGACCTGACTCGCGAGCAAGGCCCTGATTTGAGGAATTCCGTAATGCGCTGTGTAGTAGCTGGCTTTAATGTCATTTTTTTAACAACTTACCACTGAACATGGGCAAGGCAGTGTAGGTAGTATACTGGTAGTAGACAAAGAAATCTAGATGGCGGGGATGGAGAGAGAAGAGAGAGCGAGACTGGCAAAGAAGCGGATGGGGACCCACACTCCCCACCGGGGATTTTCTACCGCCCGAATTTCTTCTTTCGAGAAAATCCTCCGCAGTCGACGGTTTTCGCATTTTGCTCGCGCAGTCTTCTGTCTCCAAAGTACTCAAGCAACGTCGATTCTTCATAGCCTCCCACCGAACCACTCGTGTCCACTTTCGAAATGGGTCCTCCTAGGCGCAAGGTTCTCGCTACGGCGGAAGAGACCATGTTCCCGCCGGATGAGCTGCCTCAGGGCCATCTGATCGCCCGGGCTATCAAGGCGACCGGAAACAACATCTACTCAGTGGAACTTCCCTCGAAGGAATCGGTTTTGGTGGAGCTCCCTGCCCGCTTTCGGTCGACCATCTGGATCAAGCGGGGTTCCTACGTGGTGATCGATGCCAATGCCCTTGAGGGCCGCGACAACAAGCTCAAGGGAGAGATTGTCAACATCGTCCGTGATGAGAAAGCGTGGCGCAAAGCCCCATTCTGGTGAGTGGATACTTCAATCGCGATGCCTGGGGCTACTACTGATCCCTTTGCAGGCCAAAGGAGTTCGCTAAACAAGCTGTTGTTGTCGCGGACGACTCGGACGAAGAGGATGAATCCAATGTCGGCAAGATGCCTTCTTCAGATGAGTCGGATGCTTGATTGGCATCTTTTCTGATCCTTCAGGCGTCGGGGCCTTGTCGCGTGGGCAATAGACGACTTAACAGAACAGTCTTACTTGTTCACGGCTTCTCATTTATTCCTCATGGGTACAAGACCGATCGTGATTATCGATGCACCTGTCACAGCCCGATCTCGATATCGGCTGGATGTCACTTCTATTGGATATGCTCTTTACCGCTAAGTTTCGAACGCATGGTATCAAAGGCGCTGGCGCTATTCGCAAGGACGCCGAAACTCTGGGCAGCAAGTGCGAGGACAACAACGACGGAACTGAGGTTGGTGCTGGGAAATACGTTCCAAGCCCACTCTTGCATAGCCCAGATGAGGTACAGCAAGATGGGATGAAACCCTGCGCGCCAGAGGAGGAAGGGTGTCGCCCAGGAGAGATAGGCGAAGAACTGGTAATGGAGGGACCTTGCGCACAACAAGCCAACTGCAAGAGACGACAGCATCACGGTCATGATGTAGGGCCTGGAGAGAGATATTGTGCGCTGTCGACCCGCAAGCAGATTCTGGATGAACACGGGCAAGCTAGACCCGGAGGGCCTCAGCCAGCCAGTGACGGCAAAAGCGCCTAGCAGCACAATGTGGACGGCCAGCAATGCCAGGGAAAATTTTTTGGATAAGAATAGTTCTTCGCCGACAAACCTCCAATTGACTGTCCACTTGAACATGAACTGTCTGGTTAGCTCGAACGCCCGCGAGAGATATCCTGCGGGGTTGTTTTGTAGGAACGGTATAGCAAGTAAAACCTGTAACTCAAATGTCAGACTAGTCTCCACACAACTTGCCCTGGGCCCATGCTGCAGCCTCGCGCGAACCTACCTGGATAAGGACGGCCAGAACCCCCAGTCTCACACTAGGACCAAGCGACAGACTAAGCACCGTGACAATGGCAATCGCCGGAGCCAGCAGCAACAAGGTCATCTTAATCGCGACACCAGTAGACCACACTGTGACTGCGGCCGTCCACTTCCGATTCATGAATAACAAAATGGCAACCCACATCGCCAGCGCCGCCAAGCCATCATTGAACAGACGCAGGACATAAACGCTATGTAGTCTCTTGGAAAGGACCAGCAGCGGGAGCAAGTACGGCGGAGCACCCGACTGTCTATAACAGCATAGCACAACCACCAGCGTGATCAAGTAGAGCACAGCAAACAATATCTGACCGAAGAAAATATCGCGCCCCTCATCGGTGAGATGATAGAGGAACGTATAGCTGTATACATGGCCGGCCGGATAGACAAGGGGACCAGTGGAGCCTTTGATGAGTGTGTAATCGCGCTCACCCGACAAATAGAGCGATATCTGTTGCATATATGTAGTCCAGTCAATCTCGGTATCTGCGAGTAATAGCAACGGGGCTAGGTTAGTGGCATTGCTTCAACTTGTCGCAAAACGGCGTGAACGGAGCTTAGCTTTAGCCTTACAGGGAACTTTCCAGATGATCAGCGCGCAGAGAAAAGCGTCGCCCAGGACCAGAAGCGGAGCCATCCATTTTGTGTGTCGAGGATTGAGACACAGATCGCGAATTAGGCGCATCCAGTCCATCTTGCGTGTGGTTGTTGATCCAGACTACATTCTTCTATAGCTGTAGATGTCGGGTGGCCTCTTCGTGCCGGAGAGCCAATGAGAGCTGCCCCGTTTGGGATTAGCGTTCGTGGACACACACAAGTCCGCGCGGCCGCATGTCTGCAGAACATGCGGGTTCGTTACCATAGAATTAAGGCGAATTGTACATCAATTGAGAGTTGTGTTTAATCGCGTATGCATAATCATATAGTAGACAGTAGTTGTAGGTACACTATCGATACAAAGATGGGTATATTGCTGCCATGGGTCACATTTTGTGCCCGGCCGAAAATTTCCGAAGCCAACCTCCGTCGAAGCCAACATGACTGCTTCATGGCTTATTTCATGGTTTAATCCATAATTCCTTCACGCTGTACATGCTCAAGGCCAGATTGAGCCTTAATTGAGTCCTTCCCGCTTTCCTTTAGTCCGTTACCGACCCTCCCCAACCCGTTGTGACTGTGTTGTCGTCGATGTCGACATATCTCCACTACTCGTAAAACCCAGCAATTCGCCCAAGATTCCTCGCGGCTTGGGAACTGGACACTCGTGGCCTGCCTTTGCCAATCTCTGTGCTTCTTCTTCTAATTGTAGGAACGTAGACACCTCTTCGTCGGCAGCCGGCTGCGTCTGGGCGAGCGGATTGCCATCGTGGTTGAGGAGTTCTTCGTCTTTCCGACGTCTTCTGCGGATTCTCTGAATTGGTTGCCCATCTGCCGACATTATCATCTCGGAATCGGCGAATGTGCGACGCGGGGCGGGACAGGGAAAGACATGTGGTAGGCCGACAACGACCAAGGAAGCCAGGAGCGTCCCGGCGAAGAGGGAGGACGTTGACCGTGACCGGGGATGTAGATGCGGCGGCATGTTGAATAATGGATATGAGCAATTGAGGAGTGAGGAGAGTAATTAAGCGGAGCGGAGGGTGACGGTGATAATAATGATGCGTTGACTATGCTAAGAAAATCGGTTAGTTACAGTGCAAAGGTGCAATGAAAAAGAAAGGAACAGTCAAACCTTGTAGTGACGAAAGCACAAACAATTAATGACAGGCAAGGCAGGAGGCCCAAATCACGATATGGCCTCACCAATGGATAGCGGGGGGCGCGATAGAAGGACCACCGGGGAAGCCGGGGAGGGGAGAGAAGTTATGATGGGGAGACTGGAAAGGGAACGGAACTGAGGCAGCAAATTCAGGCTACTAATTTCCCGAACTGGATGAATTCGGTCTAGTCTTGGCGATCAGATCTAATCTTATCTTTACTGCATATGATTGGCCATCAGGGACAGCGGCGAGGTGCAAACTGGAAACTGAAGGGACTCAAACCGCCTGAGCTGCCATCGCCCACCTCTCTCACCTCTGCCTCCACTCTTCTGCCCCCTCCCCTCTCTCCTCCCATCTCGCCCGTTCTCGCTCTGCTTCAGTCGAGCACTGCATTAGACGAGAAAATGAGCGTTCTGTTTTTCTGCGCTTAGCGGTTTCCTCCTTCATCCATCTTGCGCCCCTCCCCATCGGCATTGACTCAAGTGCCTCCTCCATTCTTCTGCCGTCAGGACCCACCCTCCCTGCTCCCTGCTCCAACTCAGTTGCTCATTCCGATTATCTCCTGCTGCGCTCGAGCACCATGAGCGACCTTGACCGGTATTCCCTCCCTTCGCACCCCTCTTACCCTCTCCCCCTGAGACCACGATAAGCTAACATCCCGCTTCTTTTCGCGTAGGGCGATCGCGCAATTACGCGCTTGTCGGTTGATACCCGAAGCTCAGGTCCGCGAACTTTGCTACAAGGCGCGCGAGCTCCTAATCGAAGAAGGAAATGTAGTCTCCGTCGACGCGCCCGTGACAATCTGCGGCGACATCCATGGCCAGTTCCATGACTTGATGGAACTGTTCCGCGTGGGCGGCGACGTCCCGGACACCAACTACCTATTCATGGGCGATTTCGTCGATCGCGGATTCTACTCCCTCGAATCTTTCCTCCTCCTCCTCTGCCTCAAAGTCCGATACCCCGATCGCATCACCTTGATACGTGGCAACCACGAATCGCGCCAAATCACCACCGTCTACGGCTTCTACGATGAGTGCATCCGCAAATATGGTAGCGCCAACGTCTGGCGATACTGCTGCGAGGTCTTCGATTACCTTGCGCTCGGGGCCCTCGTCTTGGGCGCCAGCTCAGAGCTCGAACCCACCGGCCCCAGCATGGATACCACCCAATCCACCATGCCGATCGATGACGAACTCGAGACCGAAATCCTCAACTCCAGAGGCGAAGTCACCATGAGCACCTATCGCCCCCGTCCACAACCCTCCTCCGACCCATCATCCATCTCCCCACCCCGCGACATCTCCGCCACATCCAACCAAGCCCCCTTTCGCTCCGGCGCAGCCGGCACAAGCGCCTCCGGCGACGCCGGTGGGAGCTACGGCAGCCGCACCGGAGCCGTGCTCTGCGTACACGGCGGCCTCTCCCCGGCCATCGACACAGTCGACAAAATCCGCCTGATTGACCGAAAACAGGAAGTGCCACACGAAGGCGCCATGTGCGACCTGCTCTGGTCCGACCCCGACGAGATCGACGGCTGGGGTCTCAGTCCCCGCGGCGCGGGGTTCCTCTTCGGCGGCGACATTGTCAAACGCTTTAACTACCGCAACGACCTATCACTAATCGCACGCGCGCATCAACTCGTCATGGAAGGTTACAAGGAGATGTTCGACGGCGGGATCGTAACAGTCTGGTCCGCCCCCAACTACTGTTACCGGTGCGGCAACGTCGCCGCTATCCTGGAACTAGGCGAAGATACAAGCAACGGTGGCACCGTCGCCAGAAGCAATGGCGACTACGGAAGGAGTAACGGGATCCTGGGATCGACCAATAAACCAGCCGTCCGCAGTCCCGGGAGACGGTATAGGGTGTTTGAGGCCGCGGCGCAGGATACCAGAGGCATGCCTGCTAAGAAGCCTGTTGCTGATTATTTCCTGTGATACCATTTGCCGTATGAACGAATGCATTTCTTTTTCATGCCCTTTATCTACATCTGTTCTACTTATGTCTCTGCGTCTGCGCCTCCTATGTATGCAATCCAGCCGTCGCCTCCCGTCCTTCCTCAATTACGCATCCTCTATCCATCTATATAGGCCGGCCTGTGCATGAACATGACTTGCTCTCTTTTTACTCCTTTTTTCGTCATCTCTTCCACTCAACTATTGTTGGTTGGCACCGCCGTTTACTGGAGACTTAACTTGATGATATTTACATGCATGCTTGCTTGCATTTTACATACAATTTTCAAGCTTTGTTTTTTTTTTCCCCTTTCTACCTACTGTTGTGACGTGTCTGTGGGTTTCCGGGCTTTGTATGTGTGTGCATCACCCATGGCTGCTAGCATTTGGGTCACGATTGCCTTTTTGTTTTTGTCTGTTTGTATCATCGTGTGTGATCGGGTTGAACGAATTCATTTGACTGAGGGTCTGTTTACACTTTACACTGGTTTAGGTAGTTCATGGGTAGGTTTGTATATTTCGGGTTTTCATGGTAGTTGGGTTTGGGCATCCGCGGTTACTACTTGATTAACCTGATGCTCTCCGGGACGAGCTAGTGAGGGGTTCTTGAGATGCAAGGAGGGGAGTAGATATTAGCGATAGGCAGGGTCAAGGCCGATCCTCTTGTGATAACATTTTCCATTATTCTGTTTGAATTGAGATCTCTAATAAATCGCCCGAAAGGGTATGGTATGGTGTCCATCTTCTTATGAACTATACAAAAAGCCTGAATTGGAAACCGAATGCCAGCATCCACGGATGATCCAGATATCCAAGAAAGGCGAGGCAGATAGCACAAGACAAACATTAGTTCAGGCACATATGCCAAACTTATCGTAACATCGTGATTATTTTTCTTTATGTTAAGGCACCGCGGGGTGCGGCTTGCGTTGCCAAGGACTGCAACAGCATTATCACCCTGGATTGTCCCAGCAATCACACGCCGCTGTAACCAGACATTCCTGGATGCTGCTCTGGATTAGCACTCCCTGGAGGGGCTCCAACCCCAAACCTCATCGTTGGGGTCGGTCGAGAGTTATTCTCGGCTCCCGATGTCTGCCCAACGTTGGCGTACTGGTTTCCGAACCTCATGTCGGGTTCTCTCCCAGTCATACCAGGGTTCCATCCTGGTACCCAATGGTCCATTCCAAAGGTCATGGCGCTCGGTTCACGAGACCACCAGTCTTGGCTCTCTTCTACAAGATTTTCCGGCCCATCAAAGGGTGTTACAGGAGACGATGTCGTGGTTGCAGGAATGTTCTGCCCAGCGGTGAATGCGCGGATCTGTTCTTCGTCCGGGGCATACCAGACCTCCTGCTGGGCCACCGGAACGGGCTGGAACTGATTATAGGCGTTGGTTACGGGCCGCAGATACGTAGGCTCAGGAAGCCGGGTAGCACCCTGCGCAAGCTGGACGTTCAATGACCGCTGCGCTGCACGCACAGCCGACACAGAAGGTGGTATTGGGGGTCCCGTTGTGTGTGAAAATCCCATGGACCCCACCGAAGTGGGCGGCGACTGCATCACAGGACCGCCATGCTCATGTGAACCTATCGGTCTCCCAGCCTGTGGATAAAGCACACTGCTTGGATCTGCAACCGGATAATGCATGGTTGGAGCTGGCGGTGATTCCTCGGAAGGCGGAGGAGATATCGCTTGATCCCATGAGCCCCAGGATCCCCATTTGGCATGTGTTTGTTCGAAGGTGGCTGTAGCCTCTGCCGGCAGTTCCACATGCCACTTGTTGGCAGAAATCTCTAGAATCCTAAGGGTGCGCCGTGCGCAGAGCCAACTCTCACCCATCTCTTCGAGATGCCGCAGGCCATGGATGACATCTCGCTGAGCATTCTTCTCTGGAAGATTGAGAAGATGTACAGTCAACGCGGTATGGGCAATGTAGACTGCAATGTTGCAGATTTGCTTAAACCCGTACGTCCGTTTGTACATCCTCAGCAACTTTGAGATTGCAGAAGCAGCCTGTGTGCACAATTTCCGGGGAGACACATGTTGGGGAAGCGGAGAATTGACTTTGGAGTATTTGAGGAAAGGTCGATAAAGGTGTATGAGAAGGAGCTGGTAAAACATACTTTTGGTCTGTCAGTGATACAGCTTAGTACGACAGCAGCCGTCGTTTTGAAACTTACTGCATTAGAAGTGCCTGAGGAAGCTGCCCCTCTTGTGGTCTGAGTTCCTTTGGTAGATCCTTTTTCCAGGCTTCAAGCCTTGTATGCAGATCGCTGAGTTTCTTGAGTTCTGCCTGCTTAGTGGTAGGTTTCTCTTTCGGAGTCGGGTCGTAGAAGAATACAAGCAGGTCGCCATTGATCTCGCATAGCCGGAAGATCTGAGAGGCAACGGCTCGGATCCGCGACGGTTGAGTGTGCTCACGACCTACTCCCGTATCCATGTATGGGGACCATAATTCAGCTTCCTCGTTAGGCAATATATCCACCTTCGGGACGCTAATGCTAGAACCCGCCAACTGGGGCTGGCGACCGAGGTAATTAGACCAGCACCTGCGAATGTTAGACTCATCAAAGATCCCCTAAGAGACTGTATGGTCACGTACTTATCGAACAGAAAGCAACCCCAGAATGTTATCCTGCGTGCATCCACTTCTTCTTCGCCCAGATCCCGGGCCCCGAGGCTGGTCGAGTCAAAGTTTAGGCCCAAATCGAAGGCCATCCGAAAGCTCATCCCGCTGTAGACCCAGCCCTTGCTCTCGCGGCCACAACCCGCCTCCCGCACCGACAGCAGAGCCAGCGCTTGTACGGTGCATAGCTTTGCGTTCGCATGTTCATCGTTCTCGAAGAATAGCCTTTTGGCCTCTTTGAAGAAATGATCGCCCGCCGTGGCAGAATTCTCTGGATCCTCCCGAGCGCCTTCCCAGGAGCTGAAATGACAACCCAGAGCTAGCATTGCATTGACGAGCAAAGTTGAGCAATACTGGCTGGGCACCCCGCGTATATAGTCCCGATAAAACAAATCCTTGGAAAGAGTCGTGAAGAACGGGTAATGCCAGGTAAAGTACATAGTCATGAGATGACTGATCAGTCTCTCATCCTGAGTAACACGGGTCCACCGTGTGACGGAATAATCACCATGGCCCTGATCCAATTCCTGGGCACCAAGAGATGATCTAAATTCATTCAGCTCCGACCCGGGAGGCAGAAAGATGAGGTTCGACGTGCCCCCAATGAACTTGCGGGAGCCGTCCAAAACAAGCTCACTCATCTTCCCTGCTAACTCCGACTCGAACTGGTCAGTCTGTGTTAGGGCCTCATCTCCGCTAGCTGCTGTGTCCTCAGGGCCCGCCGTGGAACCTCTCCCTTGGCCGAGGATCGATTGTGCGACATCTTCGAGATTATCGCAGGACCGAATCTGGCGAACCAAGTCGAATGCATCCTCCTCTTCGTAGTTCAATAAGGCTTGTATCAACGTCAACAATGTTGTGTTTTTCGTTCTCAACGCGTCGGTATCCTTCTTGTATACACCTTTCCTGCGATGGTCGGAATTCGGATCGTAGACGCCTAGGATATTGTGAGCCTCTATCTTTTGAAACCAGCATAAAAGGCAGTACTATACAGGCTGTATGATAGACAGAGGAACAGGCTGCGCAACTCGGTAGATTTCCATCGCACTAGACCACACCATCAGCTACAAAGAGCATGTACAGCGGTAGGGTCGGTCGTACCTTGGATTTCCTCCTGCGGCAGGCGATACACGCCGTACTGACACAACGTCTTTTCGATGCCGGGCCATTGTCCGATTTTGTAGCTTGAGTTCTGGTCGAAGCTTTCCCTCGAGAGCCTGTCAGGGTGGGCGTGGCGTCCATCTCTTGCGACTTCTCCGCGGAGCTGTCTTCCATCGCTGTCAGGTCCACCCAGGAGTGTTCGGAGAAAGCGTCAAAACAGGGCGAAGCATGCTTCTCGAGGGGGGAAAGAGCGGGTCGGGCTGCTGGAGAGGGAACCCAGAAGGCCCCTGCACAAAATGGGTGGAGGGGAAGCGCGGGTCGAGGGTACCGGCATAAGCTCGACAGCAAGAGAGCGAATCTGAGGTCGTGGTAGAGGCATTAGTTAGGCAAGCGCGCAGGAGCTAGGGCGGTACTATTGGCAAAGTCGCAGAAGGAGCTAGTGCAGAGGAAGGATGGGGTGTTGCGCAATCGGCAATCGGAGGATGTCAGGAAGTCGAGAGATGCATGTTGAGCGACTCACAGATCAGTTGTCAGTCAAGCCGAGATCGAACCGCAAAAAGAATTAGGCTACCCCGCGACGTGCAGGAATGGGTTGACGAAACGACCCGCAAGTGGAGGCGACGGCTTGCTCTGGATAGCAGATGGAACCGGGGAGGGGGTTTGTACGGGGTAAAGCAATGAGCATGGAATGAATGGAAATCGACGGAGGATGATAAGAGGAGATGATCTGGAGGGAATGATTGGACAATGCTGGAGGGAGGGGGAAGTAAGAAGGAAGAGATAGATAGCGAGTCTGTGCAACTGCGCGCCGGCAGCTCGACGATCTGGCCCGGTTGGTTGGATGTGCGTCGATAAGAAACGGTGGATGACTAATGCCCATTCCCAAAGTTAACCAACTAGTTAACTACTAGTAGTACTGTAGAAAGACGAATGTCAGTTGGGCATCGGTGGATATTATAACGATAATGAACCGACCATGATAGATAATTTATCGATTGATTTTCGTTCATCTTAGAGTTCTGCGCGGGAACGACTAGTAGTACTTCCCTCTGTGTGATTCATATCTGCAAGATAGTCAAGATATGCTTTCTTTTTTCTCTGTTCTGCCTATCAGACATATTCTATTGGAAGAAAGAATGGCATCCCACCATCGAAGGAATGATCTGGATCGATCGCGGTCGGCACCATCTCAAGTTGTGTCACATGGACCTCGATGCTTCATAGTCCAATTTGACCAGTTACAAGTACTTAGTTGGTTACAAAGTACCGCTGGTTGGTTATTACTGAAAGAGGTTTAGTGTATGTGCCTGATCTATGAGGACGGGCATCGGCCTAATCTACTATCTACTACGTAGCCATATGTTTCATCACTCCACGCTCTCACCATCCTACGGATAAGCTAACCGGTTTTACACATCATAGAACCCTTTCCGCTTCCAGAATGCCATGCAGCGTCTCAAGACGTCGATGGTAAACGGTTTATACTGTGCCTCAGGGCAACCGGCAAGGGCACAACAGTAATCGTGCATTCATATACCGGCGAATACTGAGCACATTCCCAGCGCGTCAGTTCTCCAAGCACTCGCTCCTGTAGAACAGGCATCAGCGGCACTAGTGAGCCTATTGACGTGCCCGACTTGACTGCCTGCTCCACCCGGTCGCTGTAATCGATCATCCGCACGGGATACCCGGCTTCGGGGAGGAGAGTAATGGTATCCTCAACGGTCAAGGACTTGGTCCGGTCCGGGGACAAAATGTGATAGGCTTGACCGAGATCCTTGTTCTCCGACGCAATCTGAAGCACCGAAAGCACACAAAGTCGATCGTGCAATATTCGAACCGCATGTCAACTATTCGCGGGAAGGTCCCCACCTTGATGCACCCGACAATCCATCGCGTGATAAAGTCATCAGGGTTACTGGCGCCAGTGACGCTATCTCAGATAATAAAGCCGGGGCGGTAGATGGCGATAGGGAGGCCCTTTTCCTGCATACGGCGCACCATCGCCTCGGCGGTCCACTGGCTCTTCCCGTACCCAAGGTCATTATTGCAAGGCAGGCAAGTGGTTTATCAGTGGACTGTCTTCGGGGATGCTTCGCGTGCCTAGAATCATGCCTGACGGACCGAAGACATCGATACTCGACATGTAATGGAACGCCTTGCGGCGACCTAGCGCTGCAGCGTTCAAGACGTTCCGTGTCCCTTCGACGTTGTCGCGGTGCTGTTCCTGGTAAGACTCGCAGAAGTTGACATTGGCCGCAACGTGAAAGATCACACTGGCCCAATCAACCAGCCAATTGAATTGCGCGGGTCCAAGCCCAAGCTGCTCGTCTCCAATGTCTCCCTCCAGGACTAAGATTTTCTGGGAGAGCTCCAAGGAGTCGGGAAACAAATTGGATCTCTCCATGGTCTTCTGCACTCTAGCAGCGGCGCTTTGACCGTTCCTAGCTCGAGCAAGGCACGCGACCTGCTTCACACCCGGCCTCTCAATGAGTCGGCGGAGGATATGCGCTCCCACGAGTCCAGTTGCACCCGTGAGGAAAACTCGTCCTTCTGCTGCCGATTCCCAGCCCAGAGCGAGTGGAATGTCATCGACAATGTCAACGTCGTTCGCCCAAATACTAGTATGATCTGGTGCATCTTCGTATCTATCTTGTCCGGGTGCCTGCCCAGCGTCAAGAAGATCACATAAACTTGAGAAGCGGGAATGCGCATGTAGCTCATCCATGGTAATCAGGCGCTCCAGTCGATGTTGTATGAGCGCTATCAGAGCCGCCGCCTGAATGGACGAGGCACCTAAGAGAAAGAAATCTTGCTCGGGCGTGGGGTGGGACATCTGAAGTAATCCCTCCCATATTTTCGCCAGAGCAGATATCGTGCCCGTGCCGTTGGTGTTGATACCTGTGCCATTAACGACGTCCCGCTTCCCTCCCGCCTCGACTTCACGTGGGCCTTGTGCATAACCGTCTAGAAGAGCCTGGCGGTCGACGTTACCATTTGCCGTCAAGGGAAAGGTCGTGACTAGTTCAAATCGCTCCGGGATCATGTAGGATGGCAGGGTGTCCTGTGCAAATCGAAGGATGGCGTCTTGACTCTGCTTATTCCCACCACTGGGGATGATATACGCGATCAAGATAGACGAGTGGAGAACCGACAAGGGTGGTCTTTGCAGGACCAGACACGATTCCAAAAGCGGGCTTGACTCCATAATCCGTGAAATTTCCTCGAGTTCGACGAGAAATCCTTGATGCTTGACCTGTGTATCGCGACGGCCGATGTAGTCCAGGAATCCTGGTTTATCCCGTCGCCACTGGCCAATGTCACCAGTACGATACAGTTCGACAATTGACCTACCAGCGACAGTCGGGCCGTCAATTATGCCTGTGCCTTTTGTGTACCGGTGTGGAATGAGTACCTGGATAAATCTTTCCTCATCCTCACAGCTCCTGTGGAGATAGCCGGCTGACTTTCCCGGTCCGCCAACACATATTTCGCCGTGGATGCCACTTTCCTCGATGAGCAAGGCTCCAGGTTATCGTCTAGCAGATAAACAATAGCTTTTCCAATTGGCTGGCCAATTCTGATGCGGTTTTTCAGACAGTCCGGCAAGGTTGCCCTGTACATGGTCGTCAGGGTAGTCCCTTCGGTAGGACCGTATCCATTCCACAGGTTTTCTGGAGGTTCCTTTTCCAGGACAGATCGCAACGCTCGTGGATTCGCCGCCTCGCCCAGCTGTTACCACATGGCGCAAACCACGGAATGCATTGGGGGCTGTCGACGCAATAACAATGAAGAGGGCCGTTGGGATGATCATCACGCTCGCTCGGGTGTCGGTCAAGAAGGCAGGAAGACGGCTTGGGTCGGTTCCGACTCCCTTCGGCAGGACCACGATAGTCCCCAGGGCTATCAGCGTGGCCCAAATTTCAAACAGACTCAAATCGAACCCAGGATTATTGAATGCGGTCACGCGATCGGTATGTGACAGCGGAGTCATGTTGTTCTCCATCGCCAAATGGAGGATGCTGCTTGTCTGGATCTGAACGGGTTTCGGCTTTCCCGTGGACCCCGATGTGAAAAGGATGTGACTGCATCCATCCTCGTTCTGGGGACAGTCTTTCTGAAAAACCAGGTGACTATCGTGGCGGAATAGCGCAGGTTCGAGGTGTTCCATCGGGTAAAGGTCGAAGCCTTGATACCTATTGGTAGACAAATCCTCAATGATCACTCGTCTGACGGCGACATCACGCAACAATTCACAGATCCGCTTCGGGGGCTGGTTAGGCTCGAGAGGGACGCATGTTGCACCGACGAGACGGACGGCCACTTGGGCTACCACTTGACTCAGGCCAGGGCTGAGGAGAATACCGACGGGCTCTTCCGCCTCAACCTTGTCTTTCAGCTGAAGCCTGTCCGCCAGACATGTGGCACGTGCTAGCAGGTGCCCATACATGAGGGCTTGGGGCCCGTCCAGCACGGCCATAGCGTCTGAATGCTGTTGAGCGTGTTGCGCCAGAACTCTCTCCATCATGGTATAGCAACCATTGTGAACTCCACCGTTCGAATTGGACTCTTGTCTTGGCGGAAAATCGGATCCAGTTCAGACTTTAGGGACGGTATCTGAACTGAGCGGCTACATGCAAATGGAGGGTTTGATAAAAAATGTATTCATTGACGGACAAATGCCCCGATGCTTGAATTTATGATTCCTTGCGGCGAACAGGAAAGCAGCAAGGCAAGTACTTATCATAAGTTTACGGCACTCTCCAAGCAACATCGCAGTTCAAAACGTACTCCGCTGAAGTATCTCGGGAATTTTACCTCCACGACAGTCCAACATCAACCTCGCGATTCCGAGGCCAACTGCCATGTCCGGAAAGGCAGTGACCCGATCGCCGTCCCATGCGTGGACGGCGGGTGGCTGAGATCATCACTGGTCGCGACAAGGTGATGTAGTCGACAAGGAGAAATTGTCATGGCAACTCGCCGGTTCCAGCAGGCGGAGGAACTTTTGACTTTCAACTCCTCATGAAGGCCGTTCTTCTGGGAATCTACTGGCCCGCGCATGCTGATCAATGAAGGTTTTACTCCACAAGAGAACAAGAAATCCGGTGCAGAGTGACAAGAAGACAGAGGCCGTCCAAAGGAGCATGGCAATCATGGATCATCGTGTTAAATCTGATCTCAGATCTGAGTCAACACATATGCATAATCTTCGTCAGATGAGTGGGTCTAGTGGCTTGATCGATATTTCATGTGGCTATAATGCTGAAAAGAGGAATCATTGATATCATAGCATTCCATGTAAACTTCGACCGACGACTGACAGAGAAGTCTTCCAATTGCTGTTCATGCCACCTGCACCCCATATTGCGAATGGACCCCATTGCGAAGCGAAAACGAGGGTCTTGGGTCCTATCCCGCAAGCGTCGGCCGGACTTTTGTCACTCGTGGGATTGAGCATGTCCTATTCAAGACGCACACTGGGTGCTGCCCACCATATGCCAGCCAGTGTGGTTTTGCGTGACCAGATCGACGTGCCCTAAGGACAGCAAATCACCCATTACCATGGATAGGAACAAGTCCCAGGCTTCCATACTTTGACTTATAAGGCGTCTCCGACAAACTCCATCGAGAAATCAACCGCCCTTGGCACGCGTGGCTTCACCAGTCTGCGACTCAGTGGAAAAAACCTTAAACCTGAACCTACACGATGCAGCTCCCGCCCTCATTTACTGCGGCCCTGCAGTCGGGCATCGCCAAGTGACGGCAGCAAGGCCAATACTTTGAATTGAGCCCTCCTGCCACCGAAATGGGCATGGTTCACTTCGGGTCCAACGTCACGCTAGGCCTCCGATCCAGTCCCTCCATGCACGAAACCTTCCACAGAGAATTGAAAAAGAGCCGTGAATTCGTTATCGGAGCTGGCGCGAGCCGATGCCTCGGTGGTTCCACCAACGAGGTCACGAAACTGGAGAGACTGCTGGCCGACTTCCACCACGGCAAAGAGGTCGTGTTCTTCAACTCAGGATACGAAGCCAACGTTGGTATATATGGCACCTTGCCTCAACCCGGGGATGCCATAATCCACGACTCCATGGCTCACGCGAGCATTCGTGACGGCGTTCGTTATGTCCGTGCACCCATCGTAAAAGCTTTAGCACATAATGATATCCAGTCGCTAGACGATGTGCTTGGAAAGGTTAAGCTCGGCTCGGCCGATATTAGCTGCGGGAGAAGAACGGTGTTCCTTGCTCTGGAGTCTTTTACAGTATGGAAGGGGATATCTCGCCCATCCCGGAGATTGTCTCGCATGTTAGAAGTGCTCTACCGGCTGGCAATGGAGTTCTCATTGTTGATGAGGCTCACTCGACGGGTATATTTGGACCCAACGGCTCAGGATACATATGTCACTTGGACCTGGAGAAGGAACGCATAATTTCGATGCAGAGCTTTGGCAAAGGCCCTGGTGCTTTGGGTGGTATGTGCACTTCAAAATCTGGCTCCGTCAATGGCTAGCTTAACGTGCACCAGGTGTAGTTATTTTGCGATCCTTTGATCAAAGAATATATGGCCAACTTCGCACGAGGCCTGATGTACTCGACCGGGCCTTCCTTCCCCAAAGTCGCCGCCATCAGAGCTTCGATCGCCACCCTCAGCAGCGCAGACGGGGAGCAGGTAAGAACACTAGTGATCAAACCCTCCAATATATATCCCAAGTCTAATTAGTGGCCACTATGAATAGCGCCGCCAGAGGCTCCGCGCAAACATCAAACTCTTCCACCAATCCTCATGCATCCGAGGCGACAGGCTCTATCAAACTCCGGGATTCTAAAATTCCCCTCCTTTGAGCAGACGAAGAACGATGAGGTGTTCGTGGCCATCATCCCCATCATCACGGAGCAAGGACAATGCCACAAGCTACAGCAAAGACTGCAGGAACAAAGGTTCCGCACCCATGCAGTCCGAAACCCCGCCATCCCGAAGGAGGAAGAGCGCGTTCGCTTGATGCTGCACGCGGATAACAAGCCGGACGAGATCAGAGGCTTTGTGCGTGTGTTGATGGAATGGGGCTGGGAAATGATGTAGGTTGGGGCCAAGCCGGAGTCTCGCCTGTAGACTGGCAGGACAGATGGCTCGTGTACTATTGTTCGGTTCGAGGTTATAAATTATTACGCTCGTTTGTATAGTGCATAGAAAACACAACATCACTGCACATAGTCACTGCTGCTTAACACAAGTGCTGAGATTCGGCGTCTTCAGGACGGGTCAAGTTCTGCATCTACGGGCACAATGTCGATAATGTCCCCAATAGATCAATTCCGACAGATGCTCTTTCCTAGCCTAATAAGATGTCTTCAAAACGCAAGGCGAGCCTAGGCGAAGGGCAGATCATTCACAAATCGTTTGATCCTTTCATCAGCCGTAGTTGTGGCAAGGGAGGACAGGTCCGACTCGGAAGGAAACTCCCTCCTGTATCCGTAAATGAGCCTGTATTTGTCCCTTCCCTTTTTACTTTCTGTGTTCTGTTCCTCGCTAATCGCTATCTAATTGGTTATTGTCTTCCAAGTCGTTAGAAAGGGATATCGCCAAGAACTATGCAGGATTACTGTTTGAATACTCCTTTTCTCTGTATTAGTGGAAATATGTTAGTTTCGCTCAAATTGATCCCTTCAATGACTAAGGATATATAGCAGCATGATTTAGGCCGAGCAGCTGTCTTGTCCATATCTGGTATGGTTGTCACTGCACGTATCCGCAGATAGCCTGGGGTTATTTTTTGCTCAGGGTTCAGTAATACCAGGCCGCTGGAACATTCTATATTAACACTGCGTAGATATCCCGTGGGCATAATCCCATGACCTTCGAGTTCCAGCCATCGGGTTTGGCCGACTTGCTGGAGGCCTTGCATAAGTCTACTGCTTTGTACAATGACAAGAAAGGCCAGAATCAGATGAGTCATCTTGCTTCACTGCTCATTGATCAACCAGGGGCAGTTTGAATAAGAGAAGTAAATGTTGACATTCTTAAGGGACACCCTCTGCGCTTTACCGCTTCTTCTCAGCCGCATATATGGTCTTGGCTTGATGCTGTTCTCAAAAAGTAGACGAGGCATTGGTCCTCGGCAGAGTGAGTGTGCATCGGGGAGACTCCGCAAGCGTCCTCCGTGCTTGACCCAATGAGGCCCAAGCAAATGCGATCCTCGGCGCCAAGCCTTACGGATCGTCTGGAGGATCCCGGATTATTAATTACCGGAAAAACAGAATGTTGGAACCCTCTTTAGGGAAGAAATCGATATCTGCAGGCAGCCAGCCAGGCACAAGGCTGTCCCCGTCCCCGTCCTACTGTGTATGGTACTTTGGTGATACCCGGCGAAATCAATGTTTACCAGTATCTCACAGGACAGTCAGTATGTTTGCATGGAGAGGGAGACGGACAAATGTTCCTTTGTCCCGACAGCATTTCCGAGGAAATGACACCCACCCCACGAAGATCAATATGGGTGGTTGGTGGTTGGGCAGACACACAAAAGTCCGACCACCCCCATCTCCCACAACAATAATGATGCTAATCGGTGATGGTAATTGCGAACCACCAAAGTTACGGTGTGACGGGGGAGAAGTACGTAACACTCGGTAACATGGAACATTCTTTAGTGGGGAAGGAGACATTCTGCCGCTACCTCTTTGGGACACTGGCCGTTCCAGAAGTTACCGTGAGCCGAGGTGATACACGGTTGTTACCGCGCTAGAACGATTCAGGGTCACACGGTGGGCGTTGGGCAGACTGCTGCGGTGTACGAGGGATGTTCCGGGAGTCGGCACCCGCCCTTACCGCCTGAAACCAACCAACCCCCATTTGGCGCCTCACTGTTAGGTACTGGCGCTAAACTGTTTGGGGGGACTACAGACGACGAGGGCGCTAATGCTGTCCGATGCGGTCAGGCGCCTGCAACTTTTCTGTTATGCGATCAATATTACCTTTGCAGTCTAGTGGACTCCGCCGGGACCCGATGTTACGGACAAACCGTCATCCACCCACGTAACTAGTACTGGTTCAGCAGAGGTTAAGATTAATTGTTACCGTCACTTTCTCTTTTAGTGTGTTTCCCCGTTATCTGCCTTTTCTGGATTTCCTGGTTTGAGATCATTACTACACAGTTATTCCCTTTGCCGCTGACTGTCCTGGCTTGGCTTGGCTCTTCCTTATCCTCTCCCTCTCTCTCTCCCTCCCTGCATCTTTGGTTCCTTCGAATCTTCTCCCTTGTCTACTCTCTTTTCATCATCCTCGTCGTCGTCGTCTCCCTAATCTTCTCTCTGGACTCGTTCCGGTGGACATCTGCTTCACTTTCCGTCCCCATCTCTCGCGCTGTCTGCAATAGTCGCGTGCCTGCATACGGACCCGGCCGTCTTCCGCTTTTGGCATCTTCCGCTCGGCTGGGTCTCTGGCCAGTGCCAACACAGCAAGTGTGTTGTTGCTAATAGCCGATCTGCTCAAACTACTACTAGTACTAGACTATATCTATCAGATATACTCCCACTGGGGAACCGCCCACTGGACGTTCCCCTCCCTCCTCTTCTGCTCTCCTGCTCTCTTCCCATCCATGTATCTCGTTCAGACTCTCGACCAGAGCGCCTCGACGGGCCTAGGACGCCTTTTTAAACAATTTTCCTGTGGATCTAAATTGTGAAGATGATGGTCCCAAGAGCTTATCTTTTCAGTTCCCTACCTCCGTCTCCGAAGACTGCTCTCCGTCAACATGGTGAGAGAACTCCCGTCACCAAGTCCTCCCTGGATCTTCTCCCCGTCCAAGATTATGCGAGTCTCGAATTTCCATCCGACTCTTCTCCGCAGACCATGCACACCAGTCCGGTTGTGATACCCCCGAAGCGGGCTCCTCGCGTGACCTCGGTACATTCGCAGACCGCAAAGAAAGGGCCAGCCACGCCGAAGAAGTCTAGAACGGTGTCTCACAAGTCGTCGTCGGCCACTTTGACTGACCGGTCCGTGCCAAGTTCGATTGCGTCGATTCTGGAAGCCACGGCAATCCCCGTGCCTCGCCGGGGCTGGACTGTTCGAGAGTCTCGCAACCGCAGAAAACTGCCTCGTGTGGATCATGTGCAGCAATTCAGCAAGCTGTTGATGGACGGTGTGGGCGATAATTCGATGGAGAGCACGGGCAACACGGTGCTGGATCTACTTCTGAGTCCTCCGGATGAGGTCGACAAGTCTACCGTTGGGAGTGATTGTGATAGTGAGGCGCCGTCTTTCTCCGCTTGCTCTATGTCCCTTGAGTCGACGCCGTCGTTGGAGCGCGACTACGACTCACCGTCCAGTCTCCCGGCACCGTCTACGCCGTCAAGCCAGCGGAGCCCGTTAGAACGAAAGTTTCACCGCCAATCGCCCTGTGAGAACTGCATCTTCGACCACCCTTTGCTAGAAAACGAAGTGTCGGACACGGAAGAGGATTTTGTCGAACAGGCCTCATTGCCCGATCTGACCCCGAGGAGCCCGACACCATCTCGAACGTTCCCGCGGTTAGGATCCACATTCAAATCTAACCTAACGGCTTCTTTGCGAGCAATCAAATCTGCTGCGCAGAGTGTTTCGGCCTTTGCTACTCCTTCCGTTCAGCCGGACGACTTTCTGACCCGGTCTCTCTTCACCATTACACCGGAGATGACGGACGACCGACGGCCTCCGCCCATGAACGAGCCGCCATCTCCCGCACTCCGACGGTACCTGAACCCAATAACGGTCTCACCAGCGGAGATGTATGCTTATCAGGAATACCCACACGAGTCCCTTGATAGCCCCAACTGCCCGGTTTCCGTGCAAATGCAAACGTACCATCGCTCGGGTAGGCGCGGCAGTCGCAGGAGCGGGTTCCACCTAGCACGCTCTGAGGGCCGCGACCGACAGCTGCTACCATTCGACCCGGAGATTCCACCCATGTCACGCCAGCGCGAGCCGCGGGAGAACAGCGATTTCCTGCGCATGGTGGTTCTCGAGATGAACATGCGACGCAGCGGCAAGCTTCGGGACGACGTTCCGACGCGGGCCCGAATTTGGCTGCCTCCCCGCAAGGGCAGTCAGGGCCGTTATGTTCGGTATGACTATTACGAGGATGAGGATGAGGACGAGAACGCAGTTCCCTCTCGTTGGGTCGGGATCTCCGTCAGCAGTCTGTAAAACAGTGCCACTTTACCTCAAGATTCTTTTTGCTTTACACACACTCAATGCGCACAGCGAGGCGCATGGATTTCGGACTTGGCTATTCCTTTTACATTGCTTTTCTTGTACATAATTTTGCATAGATATTGGAGGCGTTCCCCTTTGGGTTAAAGGGGCATAGCGAGGCGTTTGGGAAGGGGGGAGAACCACCTATTCATTTGGAATATTGCTAGAATACACCTGGCTGGCTTTTAAGTAGAACAATTGCTACTATCATTTACTTTGGATATCATTTACAGACACCGCTTATGTGCGGGACAAGCCGACCACAGACACTGAAACGAAGGTGTTATCACCACCGTCTCAAAAGCGATAAGTGATAAGTAACGGAGTCCGGAGTACACTACAGCGACTAAGACTACTAATTCCGGATCGAACCAACTAACTAACGCAGCTACTAAGTAGTCCTTCTCTAGCGACCTACCTAATTCATCTAGCTCCAGGCTGTTTACCAGGCTACTCTACCCGTGCAGGACTGTCCCGATACGTGTTAGATTATTCTGTATTGGGCTTAGTTAGTTGGTCTTGATGCTTAAGTGCGCCTTCTCGGAACAGTTCCGCTGGATTCAGATCATCGTGATTTGGTTTGTATATTCTATCGCTAATAGAAAGTAGCAACTTTTATTTGCGAAGATAATTCATCTCAGTACGTTGTGGTAGTTGATAGTAAGACAGAAGATGATCATAATGAAAGCATGCGGTATGACAGAAAGTTTATTTCATGTGGTTGTTTGGGTATCACGCGAGCCAAGGCGCATTACTCCGTACTACTATTATAATGTTATTCCTTGGTAATATTGTTATCATTATTATTGCTGTTATGTTTTTTGTTGTTGTTCCTGATCCCCGAGCCCAACCGCTGCATGTTACTTATGTCGTGTGTTGTGTGTCATTAGGCAGGGGGGGGGTTTGTCTGTCTGCCAGGGATAATTTGAACTTTAGGTAGTATTTTCGATGAGTCGAATATTATCTTTCGGAGTTACGTAGATACTATGATACTTTATGCTTTAACCTTCACTTCCTCCAAGACAAGACAAGAAAATAATACGATCGCTGATCTACAACCCACAGACGGTAGGTACTATGTAGAATAACTACTGGTTGGGAGGTATTGTTCCACCCACCCCACGGTCAATAGGGAAAATAAACTCAACACGCGGAGGTTAAATAATGGCCTGATGACGCCATGACAGGTGGAATAGAGTTCACGCCTATTGTCATCACCTGTTCTTTCTTAGGTTATCCAGTCATGTTGGGGTATTTATGTATGTATGTATGTATGATACTCCCGTTCGTATGTTATGTTATGTATCTTGTCAAATTCATCGATGCAGAGATTAGAATAGGAGAGCTTGAATAGGTAAAATACGAATCCGGTTTTCTTGTAAACTACCTAAGAAGGTATGATGGCTGGCTGGCTGGCTGGCTGGTGATGGATGACACCGTGCAGGGTTGCCTTATCTCTGTCCAATGGGGGATCAAGATTACCCATGACTCTTTCAATATGAATGTCTCAGCCATCGGTGTTAGGTTTCATTCCTTATGGATTGCCTGACTGGCTTGGTTGGATTGGGTGTTAGGCTAGTCTGTTAGTAGTTTGCTAGTTAGTCGGGTTGGTGGTAAAGTACTAGTTCCATGTAGGGAGCAGCTTGTGGCTCAATACGGGGCTAGATTGCAGGGCTGAGCTGGGTATTTCTGCTCTCTTTCATGGATTATGGGTGTATGATTCTAATACTGCTAGTATCGTATCTAATCCATGTGATCTATTTTGACTCTATAGTGGCAGTCATGTTCTTTAATTGGAGTTTTATTTATTCTTCTGATCCAGCGAACGTTGAGGACGCTACCATAGAACCGTACCATCAGGGGTTCTTCATAATCTCAACCCACGATAAATGGCAGAGACGGGTTTAAATCATGTATATATTGATATATGAGATCTTTAGATGGTGCATGGTTGGTGGTAAAGTGTGGTTGTCAGATGTGCTTTAATATTGAATCTTGCGGGTTTAGTATCGCTAGGCTATTTGATAGAAAATTAGAAACGTGAGCCAACAGACTCAGAACGCGCATTCCTTGTAGTGAGCTTAGAAGAGAATGTGAGATTGATCGGATCCTCTCAGTGGTGGTAGTGGTCAGAGATCACGTAAATAGAGACGAGAGAAGATCAGGTATTGCCTGGCTACAGTGAATGTCTCAACATCTCACACTCTGCAAAATTATATAAGGATAGAGAGAAGACCCTTTGAACAATATAGGAGATGGTACAGAGTATCTAGTATGAGACAACTACTAACGAGGAATGAAGAGTGATTAGCAGCCTATGGTCACTCTATTGTACGGCTGAGATATTCTTCCGCTCCGTTATCTGCCTTCAGCTTGACGGCAGTGACCCACATCGTCGCTTGCTGCTTATCACTACTGGACTAGTTACTAGTAGTAGTATCATCGCTACATGTATACTTGCAACCATTGAGCTCATTGGCACTCCTTGCACGCGAAAAAACTAATTTTGACTTATCTGTCTAATTAAAAGCTACATCAATGTTTTACCGTGCGGCTTACCGTTTCCCCACTACCTTATACAGGACTAGAAGATCACCTTCAGCTCGGAATCTCCATCAAGTAACAGCAGACTTCCAAAACTACGACTCAAAAGGAAATCTAGTCACTGAAAATGTTCCTGTCATCGCCGGTGATCCAGGTGAAACCTACCTTCTGGTGTATCCAGAAGTCGGCAGTGCTTTTCGTGCTGCTGCAAAGAAAGCACACATCTCTGCGCCTGTTGCGGACGTTATACCAACATGCAAGCTGATGTTCTTCCATGAATCGCAGCATTTTGGGTTTGGTGAGTAGCCACCCTTACTTTTGGTAATACTATGTATACTGGTTGATGGTATTTGCTCATGAATCGGTATCAGAGTCGCCCAGTTATCCCCGCCTCTACGCGCCAACGCACATTGCACGCCGAACGGAGTCAAGTATATCCCCTGCGACTTTGTTTCTGGATGGGAAAATGCATGAGTTTGTTCTTGATGGGACTGCAGATGGTATACCAACACATCACATGTTTACTATTGAATGAACTCTAACATTGACATAGCTCAGTTTGCTTATCATGCAAGCGCCAGTGCACAGAATCTCAAGCATGTCTTGGAACAGCTGAAGAATGTGTGAAGGCTACTTACTACTTTTGCTCATGCACTTATCAGGGGTCCTTCTTTCATCACTAACCATGATAAGCATGTTTTGCATAAATCAGATCCTATCCAAATGACTCTTGACACTAACTTCAATATTCCTAAAGAAACCAAATTAGCTGAATTGCTAAAGAGTAGGTATCGCATGTCATCTGAAACATTTCAGCATTATCATCGTCAGACAAGTTAAGTATGAGGTCTGGATTTCAATGTAGACCTCTACTCTACTCCTTATGTACTCTACTCCTTATTGTATAAAAGGCCCGTCCCTTGGTCCAACCGTCATGCGCACAGCTGTGTCTTCAAGACACTTAATCATAACATGATAGGCATAGTAGTACCTTGCCTCCATAATATGATTCCTAGCACCTTAGTAGAAACTATTAAGAACTAGCTACCATTTCTCATGCTGAGTAACGAACTAATCAAGCAATACATAAACAAGACAAGATCCTAGTGGGCAACATTAAGTATATAGCCGAAACACCTTAACCTCTTTTCTCTCTTAATATCCCCTCCAGTACAGAGTTAAGCTCTATCCACCGAAATCTCTCAAAAGCAACTAGTAGTAAACTAAAAGACTACCTGTAAGATTATAGTTACTAGTTAAACGGTCACAAGACCATAACACGAACAGCCAATTCCGCATTATTAATCAAGATCGAGCTTGAATATACGATCCACAGTAGCTTTTTAATCATGGAATGAATCCCTGTCAATAGCAAGCCATAGTATATAGTAATGATCTCACTGCTAGTCGGTGGAATCATTACCCGTTATTGATACTACTTACATCATAGTATACTAATTCTCAGATCTGACACTAGGCCCCAATTCTAACTAGATATCCATCTGAACCAAGATAGTATTTATTAACGACAGAAAATAATTCCCAGAAACCCTCTAAAACCAACATGTTATTGTTCCATAATCTACCTCATTCTAAATCAAGATACTCCCCTCATATCCATATCTACCCAGCAAACTTCCCCGCCAAACGGCCCGTCGCGGCCCAAACAAACATAAATAGGCACAAAAACAAACAAACTTTACAGCCGCCAACAAAGCTCCATCCAGACTGGCTGTAGATAAGACCGTCACACTCCTCTCCCCTCCCCCTCATTCATCTATTATAGTTTTTCTTACTGTGGCTGTGGCGGTCAGACTATTGGTGGGACAGGGAAAGGTTGCAGATAGTAGATCCCGTGGGGTGGAGGTTGTTTCTCCGGTGATCCATCGTGAGTCAGAGATAAGCACAACCCCATAGCCGTATGGGGTACATATCTATCTCCCTACCTATCAATTTGATCTTCATGCATCATTCTTCTTTGAGTCGAGTTCATTCTATGCATCGATTGTAAAGCGTGGGGTGTGCAAAGTATAGATGATGGACTGACTGACTGACTGATCGGTGCACATGCAGCCCAGCCATCATCTGAGAGATCACAAACCAAGCAGAGGCATCGAGGATAGGCACAAGGTTGCACCGAATGATGCGTGTATACCCGAGCTGATAAATCCTTGGGGTTTGATTAGCCCCTGCATATGGTCGATCCTGTCCTGTCCTGTCCTTGTTGCCTTGCTGGTTTTGTTCCTTATCTATCCGTAGTGGTGCAGTGGTGTGTATTCTGCTGGAGTTGATAGATCAAGCCTGTACTTAGTCTACTGTAAGTAATGGGTATATTACCGTCTTGGTATGGATTGTTTACCCTTGGTAAAGTATTCATAAAGTACCTGGGTGGTATTAGGCTGGCGTTAGCCCACGTACTTTTGCCTAGTTCTCTGAAGGGCGGATGTCTAAGCTTTTTAGTAGTAGCTTCTCACGATGTAATTATAGCTGCTGGATCCACTGATGGAAGTCTGAATATGGTCGCTATTTGATTGATCAAAAAGGCAAGGTCTCATGGTTTTGATTCCAGGTGGTAGATTCTTTCTCAGTCTGAATATTCTGATGATACTCACATGTCCTTTTATTGCAGTGACACCCTTCACATACGCCCTTAGTCTAGCTATGAGTCGAAATTGTGTATATAGTATGAAGTGCTAATTTATCCCATAGAATGCAAGGGGCATGGTGATAGAGGTAGGCCACATTGCTCGTAAGTAATCACGAAAATTAGCTTGTCATGACAGTCAAAAAATGTTATTGTGGATGAGAACGGCGCTGCTGCCTCGTTCGCTTCGGCCTGAAGCTCCCGTTGCATATATCTGATAATCTTACTGTAGAGAGGAGTGCGCAAGGAAAGCAATGATCAGGATCCTTTAGTCGTATGATACATTCAGGAAGAAGATGAGGGGGCGGATCGGACGAGGAGGTGGGAGGAGGCCTGCCTTCCTTCCCATTGCGGAAGGAACGCTGCAGCTGCTTACTTTCAAGATTCATACTAGTTGGTTACGTTGTGAAACTTGTTGGAAGTCTCTCTATCTTGTCATCTGTCTGTTCGTCAATTACTGGCACTTCGATCTTTCTGTGTTGGACTGAGGATGCATTAGGTTGTTGACAACCGTATATACTGTCGACGGAAGACCTTGGAGCATGCGACATGGCATCACGACCTACAGACACAATGATCGAATGCTAAAACAATACTTGATTCTATAGTATAAAGTCTGTGCCATGATCTAATTATACAATCACTAATATACAATCAGCCAGCGCTCATCACTTCAACGTGCTCAATAAGTCTGTCTACGACTTGGATGTTATCTCGGAAAGCTTGCCCAAGATCGCGGTGAATCGTTTCGAGATCCCCCACGACGAAAGGCCAGCAAGTATCGAACAGCCAGCTTTGAGGGTCTCCGCTGGTCCTTGCGGAGCACATACATCCCCAACACCGGTCAGAACCGCTTTCATGCCATGGCCTTCGCGCACGAAAAGTTGGGCTAGTTCATCATCGCAGGGTCTGTCGAGATGAATAAACAGAGGTTTTTCGGACATGCCGTGTCCTGCCTCACGGCAGCTCGTCATGTCAGATAGTGAGGGGTAGCATGCGCCATACGCCCATAGAACTAGGGTTGCCAGGAAGACAGCGACTGGCTCATGGAACGAACGGCTCGAGAAATCGCGGGCATGTCTTAGCAGTGCACCTGCGTGTACAACTGCCAGGCGGGCCTTGTACTGGTCATGTTTGACCCAGCGTAGTATGTAGTGCCATTCAAGGGTCTGTTCGCGTTCACGCCAATGGGATTCCTCCATTGCCAGAGATGTTGCGAGTGTCCGTATTTCACGAAATGGGGCAAGGAGGATTATCCGAGCTAAGTGGAGATGCAAGACTGTGGGATGTTCGAGGCCAGCGGTCCCGGCTACTGTGCTGCCAGCAGCCCAATGGAGTATGTCGAGGCAGTCACATGCACTGTTGCGCCATTTGGAATACGACGGTATACCGGGTAGCCACACAGAGCCAGATGGGAGTGCGGAATGCCGTGACTGCTTTTTCGAGGTTGGGTTCCAGAAGGACAAGGGGCGGCGGAAGTAGTCTCCCACCTCCCACATACGGTGATATAACGCGTGAATGAGAAGAAGCTGGCTGAACTCTCCGAGATCAGGTACTAGCTCCTTCTCGATGTACATTATAAGGACGGCCTCATAAAGGGAGGATTCTTTCGGGTCTTCAGGACAACGCATTAGCTGTAAGAACGAGTTGGAAGATAGAGACGAATGATACCTGATGTTCCTCTCCGTACTTCTTCCCAGGCCTCTGGAGATTCTGCCTCCCAAAGAGTCTCGTGGGAAGGCAATGTTGCTTGGCTCTCGTCAAGAGAGAGCAAAGGGCGCTTGTCAAAATGGTATGCTATGGTGCAGTCAAGAAGCTACTTTCGGTTAATTTTAGACCTCCTAGACGAAAGAAGCGCACGTACCCATATCAGATAGCCTGTACGTCTTCTGATCTCGTCCTCGACCCAGGACACCCAGCGCTGCCCATTCGTCTTCCCGTTTAAGGACTGTATAGGTCTGTGACCAAGAAGTTTCGCGCGGGTCACAAAGCCGACCAAATTGCCAAAGGTATTCAACGCTAAACACCTAGCTCGTTCGTCGCAACTGTAGAGTATTCCAACGCAGTTGAGTACTGATGCTTGAAGAAGCCACACGGGTGCTCGATCGATGAGATACTTTTCTCCCTAGAGAAACGAAAACGAGTCAATGACGGATCACGCGGTATTAAAGGACTGTCTCACCTCAACATTCGTAGCGCGTCTAAGGAACTCATGAAACACCGGCGCGCACTCAACCTGTTCTTTGATACCAGCAAAATGGCAACCAACTGCTGACAGAGCTAGCACCACTATCCAATGGCACTTGTTTATATCGAACGTAGGAGTGTGGAATATTGGGTAAACAGGCTGAAAATGCACGAAGTATAGATCAACAAAGCTTGACAGTGTCTCCGCACTAGGCAAGTGGTCGGTTTCAAACTTTGGATACAGTATACTCTCCACGCAGCACAACTGATTGAATGCACTGCGTATCCTCTCATATGCCGATGGTTCAAGTGCGTGGCGATAGCCATTCTTATTCTCGTTAGTGGTATGGACCCTCGTCTCTGGAAATTGAGGGAACAAGTATTGACGCCGGGTATCTGCTTGCTGCAGCTGTAACGAGGCATTCGCGGAAGCAGCACATAATAAAGACCAAGAGTCCTGATTTAGTCTAGAACTCGATGATCTCGGAATAGCACCATCCACTGAGTGATTTCTAGCACGCTGGTTCAGATGTGATTGGCTAGGGCTTTCAGTGGTACCACCTAGAGACGTGTACCCAGATGGTGTCTGAGATACATTCTCTGACACCAATGAGCTACTATCAGTACCGTGTATGACGGATGGATACCACGAAGCTTGATTAAGGGAAGTATCTAGGATTCCAGAGGTCTTTTGGTAGGTATTTGTCGAATGACGGCGGTTGCTAGACGCATTAGCTAGATCCTGAGGCAACCAGTTGATCGTAGGAGCAGTGGTCTGATTCAGTAAAGGCTGTATTACTTCCATTGGTACCTGCTGACTTCCCACTGTTGGCATCATCGCTATAGTATCAGAGCTTTTAACTGACTGCAGCCCCTCAGTTCGGTGGACGGGTTCAGCCATGTCTTCAGTCGATGTTGCGATTTGTGAGTATAGCCCTTCTGTTCCTGCGTCACCATATTGCACAGAAGGGACCCGCATCTTCTTGACCTCTCTAGTAGAATCGTGCAAGGATGAGAAAGTAGTATTGTCTTCGGCGCTGGGAGCTTGCCCAATTATCCTGGTCTCATCTGAACGCCTGTTTACCGGCTCTATATTGTTGTGATCTGCGGACAGTTTAGATGAGACTGCGTTGGATGCATTCGACATGGGCATCTGTAGCTGAAACTGTGTCATCTGGTACTGAAAGGGCGGTTGCATGGATTGTTCTCCATTGCGTGAAGGACGCAAGTCGGTACCGTTTGCCCATGTGGACTGAACCAGATGAGAAGACTGATCGTACGATGTGTCGTCTTTTGTTAAAGAGGGCTGAGCCTCCCTCCGCGTCTTTGCTTTCGATCGTCTCTCGGTCGGATACTGACATTCCAGGGAGCGACTCTCGCAACGTGCGCATGGCGAGCCCCCACTGCATCGTACCCTTGCTATGGCGCATTTATAGCAAGCGCGGAAGGTTTTGACGGTGATCCGGTGCGTACGATCCTTTCCCCCTTCCATTCCAGCATTATGATGACTGAGTTCGTGACGATGGAGAGTATCCCTAACGACGGTGTCAGTTGACCCTGCATCCAATAGATTAAATGTGGTAGATCAGGGGTCGTGTAAGATTTGCCAAGATCCCAAACAGCATTGGGGGCACAGGGTTATAAAGGACTAAGCAGGGGGGCATACGTTCTGGAGAAATGTCGGCCACACTGCGCACACTCGAACGGCTTCTCCTTTGTGTGACTGCGAAAGTGACGCTTCAAGTGCTCTGGCCTTCGAAAGGTGCTTTGGCAGATGGAGCATTTAGTCTGACCAGCCCCTGTTGAGCTCTGCGGTGCGTCATGGTTGTGGTTGCTGCCGCTGCTGCTGCTTCTGCTATCGTCTTTTGTCGGCTCTTCGGCCTCAGGGCGGGTCACGGTTTCTATGTAACCATTAATTTACCTGCACGCCAGCGAGCCACTACAACTGCGCACCCCCTCAATTGTTCCGGAGATGAAAGCAGGTCTGATCTCTTACCTTGCCCGGCATCGCTGTTCTCCGGAGACATGGCGTCTCATGGGCGGTTTTCCGTCGAGAAACAACCGAAGGAAGTCTGGCATGGCACCTGGGATTACTGATGGAATCAAGAGCGAGTCGAACACTGAACAGCATCCCCGGGAAGTCTGTAGACAATCACCATTATGTCGCTCTCAGGGACACCCGTCGCGTGGTCCAGGGGTGGGAGGGGTGGGAAAGAGGTAACCGGGAAGACAGAATCGGCGGAACGTGGTCAGACAACAGTCTGCGCTGGACAGTAGACTAATAGTGGAGGGAGGAACCATTGGAACCAGTCTGGCTGTTAGGTTGTTAGTGTAGTTTGGAAGGGAAGAGGGAGAAGCGGGGGAAGCTGGAGGTTGACTTGTGACTGGCGGAGGAGCCTCTTTTAGTGTCTTTAGCGCCGTTATTTCCTCGCGGGGCCCACGAACCCATCGCCCTCCGCGTGGGCGCCAATCGCCTTGATTGGAGGGGTCCCGAAGGTTTAGATTAATGTTGCATGTCTTGTCCAACAATTTGCGCCCGGATCCTGGGCATTTAGACCGAGGTCGGTTAATTACGCCTTTGAGGATAGATGACCGAATAGAAAGCTGTTGGTGTGAATATGCCCTCAAACAGCGATACCATCAGACACTACATAGTACAGTAAATCTTAGTACGCCAGATGATGACACTTATACCACTTTGAATCAATCAAATCAATATAGTCATCTAACTTGACTAATCTTACACAATAATAATAGGGTTTACTCCCCCCGAGTCATGTAGTGTTGCGCCTCCTCATCCCTCAACGACGAGCATAACTGTATATGGAAAGAACACCCATTCTCCACGGTTGACGCCGAGACCCAATTAACCTCATTATATGCACTAGTTCGTGGCCTCATACAACCTAAATATCCACGACTCGTAGATATAACTTGCATATGACACGCGTAAGAGTCATGAAGGCAATGTCAACACCACCACCGAAACTGTCGGACAGAGTTTATTGCGATGCATATAAGCGCCATCCGATCGATAGCGGTGCTTAGCAAACCCACATGGTGGTAGCCTTAACCATAATGTGTCATAGAGTGATATGTCAGTTTCTTTTCTTTTTTCTGCTGTCAGATATAGTTTTGACAAATACTATTTTCCTTTTTTGTACTATATTGGAATCATACTATTAAGTTACTTACTTTAGGGATGCGGGATGTCATCATCTCCCCGAGTTGTTATATATAATATACTTTGTACGGCCGGACAAAGCCGATATCAGTGCTTTCATCATTAATCTCAATAAACTACTCATGAAATCCACTTACACAGGTTGATGGGTAATATTCTGATACACTAGTGAACTTGTATATTATTAGGAGAGATCGTTTAAAAAAAGAAAATCCATATTATCTGTTTTGTTGATTTACTCACCATTAACCGCAAGTAGTTATATGATGTTATGGTGAGGAAGAGACGCTAAACTTCGGACGGCCGAGAACGCACGGACCCATTAGCTCAGCAGACTTGCAGTCAGGGTGTCCGTTGCCTTTCTGTATCCCAACCCGTCCAAGAATTTCAACAACGTACTATTGAAGTGTGCCCATTGTCCTCAAAGACTCTTGTTGGTACCTTTTGATTACATAAAGTGATCCCGCTGTGGTCGCTGTCCGCCCCCGGATCAAACCTAAACTACCACTCCTACGACCGCCGCAGAACCTTGGGTCGGGGGTCCCCATGAATGGCAAGGCCGACATCAGCTCTGGACAGCCGGTTGCCTCGCCATGCATCTTCGGCACATGTTAATAGTACCGTGACAGCCCTCCAAGGAGCCACAGCTGCGTTCAATGCAAATCCTGCCAGCAGAGCGCGGTCACCTATTGCCCATTTTAGGTCTGGCGCATCACCCATGGAGTCTGTAGGGGTCAGCCACAATAGTCCCGAAATGGTTCCGCCTCGCAACATTCAGACGCCAGAATTGCCCGAAAGTGGCTCAGTCAAGGACAAGATCGGGAAGTTTAGTGCCTATCAGCAGCAGCCGTCTAGTCTGAAAGATGCATTCGGGAAAACTCCAGTCAGCATAGGGGCGAATAGGTCACGCACTCCGCAGCAGATCGCTGCCCAGCTGGCCGCAGGACGATCGACGCCAGGTGAAATCATTGCCACGCATACGGGCGTCAGCAGGACGCAAGGTTCGATGCCGAAGCCCTCAAAACGGAGTGATGACAACGAGGGCCCGCCGTTGCTAGCCCCGAAGCCGGTATGGGCTACAAGTGCAAACACGGCCTCGTTGGACAAGCTCCTTCACAGCGAGGCCAATTTGCCAATTAGAGACAAGTCGCTCCAACGAAGACCAGTAGCTCAGATATCTCCCATAGAGGCAGCAAAGCTGGCGGCGAAAAAACCTCGTCCTCCGCCTGTGCCACGAAAACCAGCTGCGGTTGTCACTGGTCCTACCTCAGTTCCTATCAACGTACATTCCAAGGGCCCAGAGAGTCCAGAGCAGGCCTCCAAGAACCACTCCTCACGTCCCCTTGAGGATACTACTATCCCTTCCAAGGCTCCGCCAGCACTTCCTCCCCGAACGGGTGCTTCGTCCGTGGCCCGGAAAGACCTGACAAATCATCGACGGCTTTTAGAAACGAACCATGGATCTCGGACGCGACCGTCGACACCTGGCACTGCATCGCTGTATGCTACATCACTGAGCAATAGTACTACGAGTTTGCTCGACAGCTCCTCAGGGCGGGACGAAGGGGCGTTCTCGGATGCGGTCGTGGCCTCGTCCAGAGCATCGATTCGGGCTTCACAGGAAAGGAAAGTCCCACCGCCCCCACCGCCAGAGCGCCGGGCGAGGTCTCGATCAATCAAGCGATTCCCGCATACTGCCAAGGGAGAACACCCAGATTCCCCTAGTCCATCCACACAGTTACGACAGACCCTCCGGGAGCCGACCAAGATCGCCGAAGATGATAAGGGGTACCAAAGGCATAAGCATCTGATTCGCAAGCATCCGCACAAGCATCACGAAGGTGATCGCAGAAGATGGCGGAGTGAGATTACGGAGAAAGAGCGAAGGCGGTACGAGGGTGTCTGGGCTGCGAACAAGGGATTGTTACTCCCACCCTCACACTTGAGGGTCCCCGAAGCGTATCCGCCCGAGTGCACCGAGATGGTGGTCAATCTGGTGGCCGCTGACATCTGGTCACGTAGTCGCCTGCCGCGGCATGTGCTAGCACAGGTTTGGGAGTTAGTGGACGGGCAACACATTGGCCTTCTGACCCGAGAGGAATTTGTGGTAGGGATGTGGTTGATCGACCAGCAGCTGAAAGGCCACAAACTTCCGCCGAGGGTGCCCGCCAGCGTGTGGGGAAGCGTCAAGCGGATATCAGGAGTGCACATCCATGGTCTTCCTCCTGCCTGACGAAGATGATAAATCGCGGGCCATGATAAAGGAGTGGGGACATGTAATAAGCCACGATGAAGAATCCACGCCGGTGCCTTGTGGCTAGACGATCGAATAGTTTAATAAGATTACGCTAGTTAGGAAGAATTATTGACTGCCTTGTAGGAGCGGGAAGAAAGCTCCCCCCGAATGAACATTATTTGCAGCGTGCATGGGCCACGGAGGACCGGCTGTGAGCTCGGCCGCGTTACGCCCGAAGATATTCCTTGTTTGAATGAGGGATAGGTGCCGGTGACTATTTGGCTCATTATTCATTTGGAGACTAGTATGGGTGCTGAGGAATACAGATGCAGATAGGCTACCTAACTAGATCCCGGTAGTCGTCTTCCCGTGAGGAATTCAGCAAAAGGAATTACTTACTTGCTTGCTTTCGTGCGTGTGAAGATTTGGAAGTGCAAGGTGTTATTATAGGCCAAATACTTACAGTAGTGGCTCGGGGTTTCTGTGGAGCCCGTAGATCGATCCAAAGTTTGCCCTCCCCCGCCTTCTCTTCTTGGTTTGAGGAAGAGAGAGTGTCCGAATATACGAATGCAATATGTAACTGGGAGAGTAGATAAACTACACCGTAGATAGATAGTCTCGGTGAAAGATGACGGTCTGTGACAGGGATGCTTCGGGAGAAGAGAGGGGAGGGGAAATCCCCATTTCCAGGATACCAGACAGCCGCCCGTCCCGTCGCCCCGATTCAAATCAACCTAAGAGAATGGGGACCTGATCCACCCGGACTGACGCGAGATCAATCCATTGCCCTTGACAATAAGTACCGAGAAGGTACAAGTGGTATGTGAGTGGTGCGTCGAGTGCGGTGACCTTTTCCGGTTCATATCACGTGATGGGCTGAGACGGGCTGCTGATCGCCCGATGGGGAAGGAGACGGATGGCGAGTGTCGGGCACCGCCACTCGCTGATGGTCCCCGAACGATAAGTTAGTAGGTACGGAGCAGTACTACTAAGTAGTAGTAATGGGAAGAGGGCTAAGAGGGGCAAAATGAAGGGGGAAAGGAGGATTGAGGAAAATTTTTACAAAAAGGAAGAGAAGGTAGGGTAACGAATCAAGCAATGCAGCAGCTGCAGCTCGTTAGTAGCTGCAGGCCCTCGAGAGGGAGAAAAAAAAAAAAAAAAAACCGCTGTCGCAAGTTCTAGATAGTTAGTATAGTACGTATATTGTAGTCTGCTTACTTTAAGTCCGATCTGCCCCCAAAAAGCCACACTTTCTTTAGATCTGTGACCCATAATTATAATGAGAAAAAGAAAAAAAAAATGAAATTAAATGAAAATAGAAAAAGGGAAAATTGAAAATTGAAAAATTCAAATACATATTGCAGAAAAAGGGAATGAATATGGTAGGCCATTCCAGAGACACCCAAGAGTTCAACGACAGGGGATCGACGATCGTGATTCGAAGAAATGCAGCCGACCCGGCGTGCATATTTTGCACTAGAAGGACTAAACTAATCGGGGGGCCCCAGTTTGAAGCGCCACCTTACGCTGGCCTGCAATTTGACTGGCCTTCCAACAAGCAAATCCCGAACGGCCACACTTCGGGATTTGCCTCTTCAGGCCTGGGTTGATGATTAAGCCGTGCAGGGTTCCCTTCAGCTGGAGGTCATTGACGCTGTGTATACCAGTCCTCCCCGTCCGTCGATTTGCATTAAAAAGGGCCTGACACATTGGCTCCCCTGAGTCAGGGAACTTCGATGGCTTTATTGTCTGTGCCATTGTTATTATCGTCGTCGTCGTCGTTGTTGTCGTCGTCGTTGCGGTTCAAACGGGTTTTGGCTGGGGACGCTTCCCAGTACTAGTCAAGTCGGTCAAGGAATGCTTTGCCTTCGGACGCCAACGGTAACAGTAGTACGCTCTGATAGGCGTTTCATGACCTTTTCCTCGGACAGTCGCTCGTTTCGTCCTTCATTGTTTGCCCAAAACCCGCCATCATGGTTCTAGAGGGCCCCGAACAGCCTGGTGGAAAGAATGGGATCCCGGCTGTGGCACTGGCAGTTACACAGTCCAAGACCGCTAGACCCACGGTGGTCCGCAAGAAGTTCGCCAAACCTCCCGTCAAAGTAGCTTGTTTGGCCTGGTAAGTACACTGACCCCCCCAATCCCCTTTTGTCCTTCCTGTTACCTTCCTCTCCGTGAGTTGATGGACAAGGATACACACCTTGTTCTTTTTGTCTTCGTTTGCTGCGGCAAACCTATCTTGTCATGCGGTTGGCTATCGAGACGGGACTAATCGGTATCCATTTCTTATCAGTCGTGCTTCAAGAACACGTTGTGATGGCCAAGACCCGTGTACCAATGTAGGTATACTTCCTCATGCTTTGGCTTGTCAGAGCTTTCAACAAACATCCTCCCCCGGGTGTTCTTTCCTATCGTCATGCTGTGGACCTATTCTCTTCCCTCTTTCCCCTCTGCAGCTGCTTTTTTGTGCCGCCATGGCTCACCGCGCTGTTGTGGCTCTCCACACCTTGGTTCTCAACCGGTTGACTTTCCTCGATCCCTCAAAGAACGTGTGTGCTAATCTGCTTGTTTGGGACTAAAGTGTTCCAGTAGGAATAAGAGTTGCTCTTATTTGCCCAGTAAGCGGGGTGGCCCAAGGAAGAAGAAGAACAAGCCATCTGCAGCTGCAGAACCTCAACACGATGGTGTCGAGGATCCTACGACTTTCCCGGTGTCTTCGGGATTTGACGAAGGTGCGGTCAGACCCCAGTTATAAGTCCTAGGTCATCCACTAACGTACATTAGCATCCGGGTTGTTTGGACAAATTGACGTCCTGTCGATTCCAGGGGCAGGGTTGAGAAGCTTAGACTTCCCCTCTGATGTCCACGCCATGTTTGCGGATCTATTTGTTCCAGGCACAGAGAACACTCACGGCCTAGAGCCGACCCCTTCCCCATCAAATATACCGTCTCGGGCCTTGGTCAGGACGTACGGCAGTGAAGATGCTCTGTAGGTGCTGACTTGTCTCATTGAATTTCTCACAGCATTCTGACTTGAGATTACAGTCTCAACGCATACTATGACTTTATTCATAATTATTTCCCCATACTCCCACCAAGGGTTGACCCCCCGACTCCTGACCGGCCCCTGGATTGTGCTGGCTCGTTCACGGATTCCCCGTCAGAACAACCAATCTTCATCTATAAACCGAGGTCCCCTTTGAGTCTGGCGATTTCGGCGATTCTGGCCCTGGTACCGCATCCAAACGACCCAGAACCATCGGGGCCTGCGTCCGTCATCCGCCGTCGCACTTTTGCACACACATATGCCCAGCTGGCAAATTCAGCTATCGAAACCGATTGCGAGCTTCACGCTTCGTCCACCTACCCTTCAGATGCATTGACAAGTGAACGGCCTCTCATTGATCGAGAGTCTTTTCATCCCAAGACTCCAGTGGAACTCGAAAGTCTGCTCGCGCTTCTCGTACTTTCAATCTACGAATACAATCAACGAGGCAACCTCCTCAAGATGCGTTACCGTGCGGGTCAGGCTCTGGCCATAGCGTTGGATATGTCTTTGCATTCCCTTGGGGAAGAGTTCGACGACTTTGCGGAGGCTCGGAGGAGAGCTTGGTGGATGACTGTATGGGTCCTTTCTCTGCTTCGCGCCATCGTCACTAATAGCTGTGTATGTGCAGTATTATTGCGTCTTGCAGGGCTCTATCGTCAGCACCACAGTAAGTTATTTCTTGCTCTTCTGACAGTGCGAGTGCTAATGTCCCATCCACAGCCTTTAGCTATCATCGCGAACGATCCCCAATTTGTCACTCCTTATCCACGGTTTTCGGCCGATCCTGATGTATGTGTCCCTATCGCTGAAAATCAAAAGCTGAGTTATGCGGATAGTTGGCTTCTAACACGCTGTACAGGGCTGGTCGGTATTAATACAAGCTCAACAAGTTCTTGTGTCAGCAACACAATTCATCATCGATCTGAATAAATGTCTATCCACGAGGACCAACATGTCATACATATTTGAACGGATGCAGCAACTTGATGCATGGGCGAGCTCTGTTCTGGCACAATCAAATCTACTTCCAATATTGCCTCAGTCTATGGCATGTGGCGGGGAGATGGAGTTGACAACAGCTCAGAGTATCCGTGCAATATCACGAATCAAGTTGTCAAGGTGGGTATTTCATGGGCCCCTTGCTGACAGTTCTTGTTACTAATGGTTTCTTAGCGCTCAAATCAAAGTGCATCGGTTCAGGGCATTCTCAGACTTACCAATCTTCGTTAAGAAACACTGCGATCTGACCTCGGCTAATCCGAACAACACAATGCCGAACAATACTTCCAAGAATTTCAAATCGCAAAGTGGGATTGCAAATATCGGATGTTCGTGTAGCCTGGAGCCGTTCCAACAGGCACCCAGTGACTACTCATCGTCGTCGTCTTCTGTGGCGTCAGATACGCAGCAGTACCCTTTCATTCAAGGATTTCCATACAGCATTCAGCATTCGGCGAAGACGTGTCTGAGAGCATCCCTTCTCATCTCACGCATGTTCTACAGCCTACCCCTGCCCCAACCGCTTCTTGATGAATGTCAAACTCAGCAGGGGCTACATATGCTGCCGGATCAATTACCACGAACCATGCCGTCATTTGCGTGCTGCCTTATGCAAGGCAGCTATGCTATGCTAATGATCTATTATAAAGCACGCGAGGAGAAAAAGCCCAAAGAAAGTAGAATTGACAATACTCCCAACCCCTCGGACAGACTCATCGAAGAAATCCGCAAGGGGCTGGAGCGAATAATTGCTACTGTTACAAACTACGCGATTGCATTTGAGGCGTTAGATGGAATGAGGGGTAAGTCCAGTGCAATCTCACATTCATCTTGACAATGACTGACCTAGTATGGATCTGCAGATGAGATTGAGTGTGCATATCAAACGGCGTTTTCTCAAGCGTAGGCCTGTTTTTGTTTTAGGTGGACTCAAGAGTTCTATTTATTTCCACAAGAGTCTTCCAGGATGGGACTAGTCGCATACTACTACTTTATAGTATCCGCAACACATGGCGCGGGAGCCAGTGATCTTTTCAATACACTTTCAGTTCCATCCAATTCTGATACATCAACACTATTAAGAATTTAACTCACGATGACACGATGACGCTGATACCGCTTTCTCATGGTACCTTTCAATTACCGATAGGAATATCTTAATAAGTATAATACAGGCCACAAGTTGAAAAACTAAAGAACCACGCAGGATCACTTGAGTACTTAGCTCACATGCATTTAATTATTTATTTATCTAATCCATCTGCGTAGCCTATATTTCTAACCTAGATACTAAGTAGCATACTATTTGGAATTCCCGCCAAGAATTTAGAAAGAAACCCGATACGTACAAAAGAAAAGAATGTGTGACGACATGAAATTGATATGCAGATCGTGCAACGATGGAGGACCCATGACAAACGAGCCAATAAATGCAAGTGAAAGGGGAGAAAGTTAATCTCTGTAAATAGTAATACTAAAGTAAAAGATCAGATCAGGGAGGGGCCGGAGGGCTATGCTGGGTTTCCTGGTCTGGTTAGATTACTTGTTAGAGTATAACCTTGTTGTAGGGAGACTTGGGTGACCTAGGTAGTATTAAAATAATAATTAGTCTTCGACTTGTGAGTTCTTTTGTGGAAAGTATGTCGAGGTGGGTTTGGTTACTTATGAACTGGGGATGGAATGGGTACTTAGTAGTACTAGTTATGGTTAGTTTAGAAATTGCCAAGACGAGGATATATATATATATATATATATACTCCATTTATTACAGTACGTTGGTCTCGAAACTAGAAGTAATCATTCAAATAACCTCCCATTATTTATCTATGCTTGGCTTAGCTTGGCAAACTATTGTACTTGAGTGATAAAGGTAACTGCTATCTATAGTGAAGATTCTCTTTTGTGTTAGGGAAAGAGAGAAAGCTGGAACAGAAAGAGAGATAGGCCTCATAGTTTCGACCGTATCCCCTCTAACCGGAACTTGACATCCTTGAGCACCTTGCTTGTTGGCTTCCAGTCGTCGAACTGGCGTAGGAGTTCCATCGTCTCCTCGTACAGTTCGCGGCGGACGTATTCCTCTTCGAGAATACCGCGCATCGCAAAGGGGAGGATGTAAGGGTTTGCGGGGGCTGGTTGGGTGCGTTTGATGTGCAGATTGGCGCTGTGAATGGTGGATGTTTCGAGGGCAAATTCGATGGCCAGACTTGTTCGTTCTCATTAGTATTGGGGTTGGGTAGATAGTGGGGCGGGGGGTATAAATATACCGGTATACAGATGGGTCGTCATAAAGACGGGAGTGCCCTTCCCCACTGTATAGACTGCCTGCTAGGGGGGAGCTGAGCTCGCGGATGAGACCGTGGTCTGGGATGCCTAGGTTGCGGAGCTTGAGGACGAAGCCGACTAGGTGAGAGAGACTGGTAGAGTGTTAGATGCGCTTTTATTTTGTTGAGATAAAAAAAAAAAAAAAAAAAAAAAAAAAAAAAAAAAAAAGCTGGCTTACAAGCTTGGGGCGTGGACTCTGCCATCGACGAAGGCTGCGCGGTAGATGTATGGATGGGTCACCGGGGCGAAGAGGGATGACTGGAACATGTGGTTTAGTATTTGAGTATGAGAGATGAAAGGGGTGATGTAAGGCTCTTTACCTCAAGAGAAACCAGCTGGTCATCGATGCTTCCAATGTACGATATCCGAATGCCAAAGTCGAGACAGGTTCTCAGTGCTGATTCATAGTCCTTGGAGACTTGACTGTAAGGCAAGGCAAACTCGAATAGCTCTCCGGCGGAGCCACTGATCCAGCGGGACCTGAAGTCTGCAAATGGGCCTAGGTTGACACCGGCCATAGCACAGATGCCGACACGCGCTGCGTTGAGACAGCCAAAGGATATCAACTTGGCGACCAGCATGATCGCAACAGGGACACCCTGACTATGGCAAGCTACCAGGATGAAGTCGGCTTTTCTGATCTCCTCCATCCAATTGAGTAATAACTTCCACAACAGGTCGACACGCTCAGCTATACGCCCCTCGCCTTCCAGCGCAATCTTCTCGATGTCGCATTTATATCCATGGTCGTCAGCCCAGGTATTTATGGCTTCTGCTGCCATGTTTGAAAATCGAATCGAGGTGCCTGTCGGTTGGCCTAGGACGCTCCGGATTAACGGTGCAGGAAAGTATCCATGTATCCCAATGGCCAGGGCCCTTTTGATAGGGGGTGTATCTTTAACCATATGAACGTGTCTGTTGTTTGATTCTTTACCATAGTGGAAATATCGTCCTATTGTCTGCAACAGACTGGGCTTTTCTTGCACGGCAAATGTTTCGTGAAACCTTGGCAAAACCTGATTGGGTAAGACTTTTCGCAATTGTTTCGAAGCTGCAGCTTCAGGTGGTCCCGGAACCAAGTCATTGAGACCTGCTTCTGGACGTAATGCGGTTTTATCAGGTAGTGCAGAGCTGCTCTTGTTGTTCTTAAGCTTAACGCTTCCCTTTTTCGCAATCTCAGCCCTTGCTTCTGGCTCCGGTTCGGCTTCAATGGTTGCTTTTTTCAAAGAAGAATCTGGCAAAATAGAGGCGCTAGCCATCTCAGAATCTTGTGGGACCTCTTTATCAGATCCCTTCGAAGACTCTTTGAACCAGAATGACCATCCAGAGGGCTTCGGGTCCTTCACAGGTATCGTAGCGGGACTGCTTGCCCCTTGCGTATCATGGTCTTGAGTTGGTGCAGGTTCCGTCAGCACGTCTTGCGTGGTTGGCTTATCCACGTCATCTGAAGGTTTGCTTGCAGGCTCTTCTGGCCCCTTTGTTGATGAACCGTACCACATTTGAAGCCAAGAACGTTTTAGAGTGTTCTGCGAACTATCATGCGTTTCTTCAGACTTATCCTGTTCCGGCCTATCTGGCTCTGTTTGCCCCTGATTTTCCGAGATTGCCTGCTCTTCGTCTTTTGATACAGGGGGTTTCACGGGTGATTCTTCACTAGGCTCTGGTGCACTTGACTCTGACACAGGGTCCGGCACAGGATCTGGTACCGGATCTTTTGGGGCAGAATTGTCGGTTGTTGACGGGGCATAGAACCATGAAAACCATCCACCCGTTTGGACAGTCGTCGTCGGGCCTGCGTCAGCACTGTCCCGGTTATCATCTGTAGTAGTCTCGGGAGCAGCAGCACTCAATTGGCCCTTATCAGCGGCATCCGCAGCTACTGTCTCTTGGTCTCTCGATACTTCTTCCTCGGTCGGTTGCGTTGTTATGCCAGCCGGGCAAGACTTAGCATCCTCTTCAGGGGTGAATGTAGTGCCATCAGAAGCTATGTTTATCTTCGTTGTCGCAGCGTCGGCGGGAAGAGACCTGCTGGATGCGCCGACTTTCCGAGTAAGCTGGAGGGAGGGATTTCGGAATGGTTTAGGAGAATCAAGCTGAGGAGTTGAGCGGGAAGTGAGTCGGGGTGCTAAGTTTTGAGCAGCGGAGATGCTCTCACGGGCAACCTCGGTAACGGGAGCCGCTTTGGATGCTCTGGAGACGGCCGGCCAGACAGCAGGATACCAACTCTGATAATCCAAATGATATATTAGATATACGGGACGGATGCAGAAGAAGATATAGGGCTACTGAAAACCCGGACTCACCGCAGTGCTCCCCCTGTTCCTTGATTCTGCATGGTCTCCGCCTGCGGAAAGCGATGTAGCACCATCGTCGGACGCTGTTGGGGACTTGGAGTCCGCGCCGAGGGGGCTGGGCTTTACTCTCTTACGAGATCCCATCGACGGCATGAAAGCTTAACTAATAACATCACCGAATGCGAGATGAGGTGCAGATCAAAGCATGGAAAAGCCTAAGATCAAGTGAAAGGTGATGCTATGATGGGGGAGGCCAGCAGACTAGCCACCAGCGATGGCAGCCGGAGGATCAGCGCGGGTCTTTGGTTGGTTATCAGCCAAATCGGGCCAGCATCACGCCTGACATCACGTCACATGCTCTCTGCTGACCGTCTTTGTTTGCCTCGCCGCCTCAGGCGGTGAGCGAGTGTGATGTGGCTGGTGTGCTGAGTGCGTCTGCACCGCCACATGCATCCGGGCTGGAAGGGGAAATTTTTATTTTTCGGGGCCGATGTGGAGAAGGCCAGGAAAGGATCCATCCAGGCCGCCGATAACTTTTTTTCCTGGATACATTCTTTTGTACCGCTTTCACCATCCTACCCACTTGCATCCGCAGTTTTCTGTTTAGCGGTTTCGTTTTCGTCGAGTGTGTCTCGACCTCCCATCTCTCAAGATGGCGATTCAAAAGAAGGTAATGCGGCATTGGTCTGTCCCGCGGTCATGGGAATCCCAGTACTGACAATGACTTAGCATGGTAAAGGTCGTTTGGATAAGTGGTATCGCCTGGCGAAGGAGAAGGGTTACAGAGCGAGAGCTGCTTTCAAGCTGATCCAGCTGAACAAGAAGTACGGCTTTTTGGAGAAGAGCAAAGTCGTTCTCGATCTTTGCGCGGCACCCGGTGTGAGTACAACCCATCAGTGTGATTCTTAACGCCGAGTCTGGTGGCTGACCACTTTCGCAACACAGTCGTGGTGTCAAGTTGCTGCAGAATGCATGCCCGCACAGAGTATCATTGTCGGTGTCGATCTTGCGCCTATTAAGCCGATCCCCCGAGTCATCACTTTCCAGAGCGATATCACAACCGAGAAGTGTCGCACAACAATTAGACAGCACCTGAAGCACTGGAAGGCTGATACCGTACTTCACGATGGTGCCCCCAATGTCGGTACCGCCTGGGTTCAGGATGCTTTCTCTCAGGCAGAGCTGGTGTTGCAGTCTCTGAAGTTGGCTACGGAGTTCTTGGCGGAGGGCGGTACATTTGTTACGAAGGTCTTCAGATCCAAGGACTACAATCCGCTCCTGTGGGTTTTCAAGCAACTCTTTGCGTCCGTGGAGGCGACGAAACCTCCGTCTTCTCGAAACGTTTCTGCAGAAATTTTCGTTGTTTGTCGCAATTACAAGGCACCAAAGCGCATTGACCCGAAGTTCCTCGATCCCAAGCATGTCTTTGCAGAACTTGCGGACCCTACCCCCAACAACGAGGCCAAGGTGTTCAACCCGGAGAAGAAGAAGCGCAAGAGAGAGGGTTACGAAGAGGGCGATTACACGCAATTCAAGGAGGTCCCGGTCACGGAATTCATCAACACCACTGATCCCATTGCCATCCTGGGTTCATGCAACAAACTTAGCTTCCAACAGTCCCCAAGTGGTGACCTTGCCCTCGCCACTTTGGAGAGACTAGAAGAGACGACCGACGAAATCAAAGCCTGCTGTGAGGATCTCAAGGTTCTGGGTAAGAAGGAATTCAGGAACCTGCTCAGGTGGCGACTGAAGGTGCGGGAGCAGTTCGGTCTCGCTGTGAAGAAGGGTGGTCAAGCCAAGGAGGATGAGACCGAAGAAGTGGCGGAGGTCGCTCCTATGGATGACGAGCTGGCCATTCAAGAGGAGCTGATGCGCCTTCGTGAAAAGGAAACCTCCAAGCAGAAGAAAGAGCGCCGCAAGGAGAACGAGAGGAAGCGCAAGGAAATCGTTCGGTTACAGATGCACATGACGACACCCATGGATATCGGAAAGGAGCAACTGGGACCTAATGGCGAGGATGCCACATTCTCGCTCAAGCGCGCCGAGAGAGGTGGAATCAGGGACACCATTGCTGCCGGCCATGAAGCACCGATTGAAAGTGATAGTGAGGACAGTGCTTCCGAGTCTGACTTCGAGGAGAGCGATGACGAGGAAGACCGTCTGGAGCGGGAACTTGACAACCTGTACGAGCAATACCAGGACCGCAAGGAGGACCGGGACACGAAGCTACGGGCAAAGAAGGCCAGGAAGGACTTTGAAGCCGACTCCTGGGATGGCTTTTCCGATGATGACAAGGAAGATGGTGAGGACTCCGACGACGAGGGTCTTGGAGTTAGCTCCGCCGGCGACAAAGCTCCCAAGTCAGCTTCCCTTTCCAACAGTGCGTCGCTATTCTTCGACCAAGATATATTCCAAGGCTTAGAAGACATCGACGATGTCGAGGATGAAGATGAAGATAGCGCCATCGAAGTTAAGGAGGCTCGGCCTAAGGGCAAGGAGTCTGAGAAGAAGAAGAAGGCAAATGAAGCCAAGAAGCCTGTCCAGGCGATGGAAGACTCGGATGAAGAAGATATTGAAGAGCTTGAGGATCCACGTAAGAAGAACGGGCAGCTCGGTAAGTTCGCAGATGTGGCGTGTCTTTGCCTTGTACCCTGGACAATTAATGCTAACTCTACTACATAGATATCGACATCATCACTGCGGAAGCTATGGCACTTGCCCAACAGATGGCTACTGGAGAGAAGAAGTCTTCTGACGTGGTTGATGATGGCTTCAACCGATTTGCGTTCCGCGATAGTGATGGTCTCCCCGAGTGGTTCCTTGACGACGAGAACAAGCACAGTATCCAGAACCGTCCTATCACCAAGGCGGCCGCAGCCGCAATCAAGGAGAAGATGCGCGCCATTAACGCTCGCCCGATCAAGAAGGTTATGGAAGCCAAGGGCCGCAAGAAGTTCAAGGCCGCCCAGCGACTGGAGAAGTTGCGCAAGAAGTCTGCACTGTTGGCAGATGACGAAGCCCTCAGCGAGCGTGACAAGTCGCAGGCCATTGCGAGATTGATGAGCAGAGCTACCAAGAAGAAGCCCAAGCAGCAGGTGAAGTTGGTGGTTGCCAAGGGAAACAACAGGGGTATCTCTGGACGTCCTCGTGGTGTCAAGGGCAAGTACAAGATTGTGGATTCTCGTATGAAGAAGGATATCCGGGCTCAAAAGCGCCTGGCCAAGAAGAAGAAGAATTAGTGATGGGGCTTAGCTGTGGAACTCGAAGCGATCTTTTTCATCATTGTCCATGTATATACCCGGTTAACATTATAGATCTCTGTATCATATCCATGGTGAAAGGGGTACGTACCTGTTATTGCGATCTGTAATTCGTTTCAATGGTCCGATGTAGTACCGGGTAGGTGGCCATGAAGCTGTCTCCAGGAAATATCAATATAGGGCAATAACACTACCACACTGGCCAGTTTTCTACTTACGCCTATAAGAGTACCGTACTACTGGCCTCTAAATTAAGATGTAATACGTAGGGGAAGATAATGTTGGGATGATAAAACGTAGTAGATAATGACATTTCTTGAGAATCGTAGCTTCTGCTCGTGTGCCTGTGACAGACACAGCATGATTCGGATATAATATGTATTCTACGAAGATATTATATATCAATAATCCATCCAATTTAGGCAGGTAAGAAAAATCATGGCCGTGTCGGTTCGTCGCGTAGCCCTCTCTACGAGAATTTAGAGGCTTCGTTCAAGGCTTCTGCTTCCTTACCCATTCTAGCCATCCAACGATCAACAAGATCTTGGTTCTCCTTCTGCAGCCGGGATGACCGCTCTTCAGCCATATTCAGTTGAAGGTTCAACGATGCCAGCTCGTCTTGGAAATCCTGAAGTAGTGTCAGCAAAACTAGAAGGACTCCAAAAAAGGAGAGAAGGGAGCAGCATACCTCCAGTAACTTTGCCTTCCCGCGCAACTCCTCATCTCGATCTTTTAAGCGTAGTTGAAGATGGGCGATCTCATTTTCAAATAAGCGAATCCGTCTGCTATCCTGAGTGCTTCTCTTCCGCAGCTTCTCCAAGTCAGCGGTCATGCGTGTGAGCTGGTCCTGCAGTTCGGAGCGTGACCGCTGCGCCTCAGCCAGGTCTGCACGTGTTGCTAGGAGAGTCTCTTGTAGAGATGGGTCTTGTGCTCCTGCTCCTGATAGCGCCTTGCTGGAGCGGGATGCTGAAGTGTCGGATGGCACATGCTGTGTTTCAACCGGATCTGAGCTCGGTGGGTTGCTAGCCGCTACTCCCTGAACCGTGCGATCGGCCAGTTGGGTATCTAATGGTTTTGATCATGATGGTCAGCGAATGGTCAGAATACTTCCGGAATGTGGACTACCCCAGAAAGTGAGGGTGATCGACATACAAGCATCGTAAATAGCTATGCTGGCTTTCTCTCGTCGATCACGAGCCGCCAGCGCGGCGGAGTACTCCTCTTTCCAGTGGGCCATTTGATAGCAAGTGGTGATAAGGTGAGAGTCTATCTAGCGGACGGACGGCGGACCCCTCATATCATGGAGCCATGGTGGAGCTCAGAGCCGCCGAGGGAGAGACGTATAGCTATATTCACAGATGTTACTAGGTTAATAAAGGAACCAAACGAGTTAAACCACGACAACCCCGACGACCTGCACAACTATTTGAAAGCGTGAGGGGAAGAATGGACTGTCTTGTCACTGACGGGTGGATGGGGCGCTGACCGCCATCTCCACCGCCCACGTCCGCGTGCATCATCGAAAGCCGCCGTCGCCGTTAGCTCGGCTCAGTTCACCGTCCAGGCCCAACCATCACTCTTCCTGTTTGTTACTTGACAACAACTACCCGACTCGCTCGGTGTCTCTGCCAACTGACTGCATCCCTCGCTGCGCTGACGGGATTATATCGAACGTCTCTTTGCTTTTTCCCCTTCTATAGACAGAGCTTGACTTGTCAATACACTCACAGCCCCCTCATATCTCCACCATGTCGTCACGGAAGAAGGTCTTGTTGAAGGTACCTCGCCTCCCCCGACTCATGCAGGCCAAGCCGCCTCGATGAAAGCTTCAATTACTCACATAGCTCTTGGAATCTCTTAGGTTATCATTCTGGGTGATAGCGGCGTCGGTAAGACGAGTTTGATGAACCAATATGTCGGTGGCCTTATCTCCCAGCTGTTCCTCGGATCCCCACTCACCCTCATCTCGCTCAACAGGTCAACAAAAAGTTCAGCGCAAGCTACAAGGCCACAATCGGAGCCGACTTTCTCACCAAGGAGGTTCTAGTTGATGATCGGCTAGTGACAATGCAGGCATGTACTCATCCGCTTGCGAAGACGAACGGAGCTATTGTGGGAATCGGGAGTTAACTGATTGTCAACAGATCTGGGACACTGCAGGACAAGAGCGATTCCAGTCCCTCGGCGTTGCATTCTACCGCGGTGCGGACTGCTGCGTTTTGGTCTACGATGTCAACAATTCGAAGAGTTTCGAGGCCCTTGACAGCTGGCGCGACGAGTTCCTGATCCAGGCTAGCCCTCGGGATCCTGAGAGCTTCCCTTTTGTAAGGACTTCTCTTTCCTTCAATCTTCTCTGAACTAGGCGCATGATTTGCGCGATGGTTAGGTTGGTAGACACGAATACTGACTAGGGTTCAGGTTGTGATTGGTAACAAGATCGATGTGGAAGAGAGCAAGCGGATGATCTCTTCGAAACGGGCTATGACGTTCTGCCAGTCGAAGGGCAACATTCCGTACTTTGAAACGAGTGCCAAGGAAGCCGTCAACGTTGAGCAGGCTTTTGAAGGTTGGTTACGTATTCTGTCTACTCGATTTCAACGCATAGCTAATTTTGCGACTCAGTCATCGCCCGGAGCGCTCTGGCACAAGAAGAGGCAGAAGAATTTAGTGGGGAATTCAGCGACCCGATCAACATCCACCTTGATGGTGAGCGTGACGGATGCGCTTGTTAATGACCCCTTACTAGACATGCCTTGCGAACGTTTTATATCTCTGCTTCAAGCCCGCTCCATTTTCGCTGTACGCGCCTCCGAACGCTCCCACTTCGTGCTTGTCAGAGCACATCAATGCCTCGTATGAACTTTTGAGCTTGGAAGAGCGTAGCTGTTCTTTTGGGAACACCTGCACTTATACAGTTATGGAGCTCCTCATGTGTCACGCTCCTTGTCTTGTGTTTGCCTGCCAATTCGCATGGGATATCCGTTGATGGTCTTGATTCTGCTTAATATTTCCCTTTTGCTTTTCTGGTACGAAGGTACTATCATGTTCTGTAGGAGTCTGGAATATTATTGCTTATGTGCTGAAAGCTTGTACAGTATAGCCGGTTTAGTAGGCATTAACCACACATCACATCTAGCGTTGTATTACGCAAGACCTAAGTTTCTCATAGTCAGTTCCTATTCCCAATTAGAACCCGAGAAGCAAGGAGGATTCCGCTGGCCAAAGAACCAGTGGTATGGTGGAGGAGATCAGGATCGGCTAAGCGTCGCGTGCTTATCTCGGCGCATCTCGTGATGCTCGGCGTTATCAGTTCGGGTTACACCGCAGAGTCACTCCGCCTCCGGTTTCCCTCTCTCCTCCGGTGAATCCCCCCGATCTTGCTCCGTCCACGCCCCCTTCTTTATCGCCTGCTGGAACAGGTGGTCTTCTCACCTTGTACCGCCCTTCATTTGCGCCCATGATCTAGGACAGCTCACTCGCGGTCCGGGGGGGTCTAGTATACCTCGTATCGCGTGCGCCGGCGGGGAATTCTATAGAGCCTCGACTCACAGCGAGTCCTTCTCTTATCGCCCGCTACTGACAGCCAGAGAAAGTACGCGGAAAGGATTCAATAACCATGGAAGCACCCGAGACTACGGAAGGCTCCATTTTGTCCGGCGCCGCAAGACGAACATTGGGTATTTGTCTGCTGCTCGTCGTGGTCTTCTTGTGGACGGCCTCGAATTTCCTCGCCAGTGTATGTGCTTGACTACTCTTAACCCTTCATTTCATTATATACCCGGTGCAATGCTAATTCAGACTTTATCTATGTGTCACAGACAATATTCGCCGATGATACATACTCGAAACCGTTTTTCGTGACATACATCAACACTTCGTTGTTCATCCTTCCTCTCTTCACAATTATCTCCAGACGGCTCTTGAAACTATGGCAGGCAGGGAAGCTCTACCGGATTCGGTCCTTCAAAAGCCTACTGGAGCATCTCGATTCTCATGATACGAATGTCGAGGCACGGGGTATACTCAGTCACAATGCAAGTGGGGAGCGTTGGCGCAGCGAGGACGCAGACCCTGAAACATGGGCCGGTGCTAGGTTCAATGCTGCACCCCGAGGTCAGCCATCTAAGCTGGGATTGAAGGCGACGGCTAAACTGAGCTTTGAGTTCTGTTTGTTATGGGTAAGTATATCGCTACACTGAGTCTCCAACCCGTATACAAACCGCAGAAGCTAACAAGCACCAGTTCTCCGTGAGTACTAGCGATCAATGGTGGCATCCAGCCTCCAATACTGACTCAATCAGGCAAACTACTTCGCAATGGCCTGTCTCCAATACACAACAGTAGGAAGCACCACAATCCTCACCTCAACAAGCGGTACGTACGCCGCCACCCCGCATCACCATCCCACCACCCAAAACTAACTCCCAACCCAGGAGTCTGGACCCTCATCTTCGGCGCCCTAATCGGCGTCGAGCGCTTCACCATCCGCAAACTCATCGGAGTCATCGCCTCATTAACCGGCATCATCCTCATCTCCCGCGTCGACATGTCGTCCCCCGACAACCCCAGCAACAACAACACCACCACCAGAGGAAGCGGAAGCACCTTCCCCTCCAAAACCCCCGGTGAAATCGCCCTCGGCGACGCAATGGCCGCATTCAGCGCCATCCTATACGGCGTATACACCATCGTGCTAAAAAAGCAAGTGGGAGACGAATCCCGCGTCAACATGCAACTATTCTTCGGCCTAGTAGGATTATTCAATACGGTCCTCCTCTGGCCGGGCTTCATCGTTCTTCATGTCCTCGGTATAGAATCTGTAGGAATGCCTGATACGGGGAGAGTCTGGACGATTATCTTGGTACATCCCCAAGCCCCTTTCTCACGTCAGCGATACCCAGATAACTGATACCAATTTTAAATGTAGGTAAACGCCCTCGCCTCCCTCGCCTCCGACATCGCCTGGGCCTACGCAATGCTCCTCACTACACCACTAGTAGTAACAGTGGGGTTGAGTCTAACGATCCCGCTCTCGCTCGTGGGCCAGATCGTGCTTCAGGGACAGTATGCGAGCGGGTTGTACTGGGCTGGGGCTACGGTGGTGTTTTTGTCGTTTTTGGTGGTTAATCAGGAGAGTCGCGAGGTGGATGGGGAGGGGCCTGTGGTGGTGGATGGGAGGGGAGGGGCTGGTGCTGGGTATGAGGCTATTCCTGGGGATGGTGGTAATGAGTATGGAAGGGATAGGTGATAGGTATCTATATCTGCTATGGAGATGTTAGTTCGTTAGATAGGTAGTAGGCAAGGGGCTTACTTTACTATCTCTGATTGGGGAATATGTTGAGAATGGAATCAAATTCGGTAGTGAAATTAGAAATGACAATGTGCTCATGTCTGAAGCACAGAGAGCATTATTGGTACTAAGTAGAATTACATGACCACAGTCAGACACAAGGTGTGCAGTGTGGGACGAATAGAAGTGAGAAAAAATACATGAAGAGCACGCAGAACCCGCATCACTTCTCATGTCATCCAGGACAATCAAGCCATACGCGAGACTAACCCAACATGTAATGTCTCTTACTCGCGGGGTTTCAACATCTCGTACAATCAGTTATAGAATCACAAGACATGAAGACAAAATATCATGAAGAACATTGGGTATGTATCATCAAACAGGAGCAAGTGCGAAGTAATATAATACCGGCGAACATGGAAACCACAAAGGAGAATAGTTGGGTGAGAATTGAAGTAGACTAGCCAGAATCCAAGTGATATCGAGAAAACTTGAAGGAGTGTATAGAAGGGGCGGGATCCGAAGGGTTCCGGGATCTGTTATACAGTGGATTTCTTTAACGGAGGCCTGCTGCTCCGGGCGCAGGCTCCAGTTTCTTGCGGGCGACCAGAATGCTCTTCAAAGCTCCTAACCACTTTGCAAGAGATTCTTCGTCCGGCGCGCATAGTCGATACGACTTTTCTTCCGCAATGATTTGAAGACAGAAGTGTTTCGAACGTGACATAGGGTCGACTTCAGCAGCGTCGATCACCTGTGCCATGGGTATGACTTTGACGGCAGAGTATTCCTAAAACATGGCACGGTTAGTCATAATCATAGAAAGGAATGCAAGAGAAATAGCAGAATGGTGAAATTCATACCTGTTCATCTTTGTAGAAACCAAGGCTTTTCGGGCGCAGCACAACCCACAGTCGCTTCCATTGGCGCATAGATCCCTTGATTTTGAGGCATTGAAGATACCCATTGCATACAACTCTCTCCGGGTCACGTAGGACTGCGGACTCATTGCGCGGAATCGAGGAAGGGCCGTCGCTATGAACTGATGCAGGCTGGTTTTGAATGGAAGGCGATGTCATGCGAACGCCGTTGTTGCTCCCAGGGCCGTCGGACCATTCTGAGTATGACGTGATATCATTCCCCGAGTGATCATGGGGCGAGGCGAAACGCCTCGAATGGTAAGTGGGTGACAATGAATCTCCGACTTCCGGAGAACTTGGTCTTCCGCGCTGATCAAAATCGGAGTGGTCGGTGGTGTCATAGATGCGGCGCTTGTTGTTTCCGGCGGTGTCGCTATTCTTTGATAAGGCGAGGAAGGCCTCTTCGTCTTCGTCCATGCGGGTTTCTGATCGGATGTGTCTAATCCAAGCTTCGGCTTCTTTCTCCGAAGATGCCTGGAAGCGATAATTCTTCGACGGCGAGAAAACGCCAAAAACGTGCTGTCGGTTGGATCGGGGGGACCTGACCGACGCAACGGCCGTGACCTCGGACAACGTGATAGAGGCTCGGAGCCTCGTGGCCTCCTCATCCTTGTATACCGACAGAAGGTTGGGACGTAGAACGAGATATGCGGGTTTCCAGGAGGCCCTGAATGCCTAGTTCGACAGAGTTAGTTGGTTCTATACTGAGCTCGGCTGACGGCGCAAACGACTAACATGTTTGTGCTTCACGCGACGAAACACCTTTCCAGTCTTCAGGACCCGATCGAATTCGAAGCTCCCATTTTCATTGACAGGCGAGAAAGTGTCCAAGTTTACATGGCCGCTGCGATAGTGAGCAGATTGATTATTCGGGACTAGAAGCGCCGACGTCTGGACGGTGCCATCGGGTAGCTGGATCGCGGGAGCTTTGGGATTCCCTTCTGCAACCGGTGCGTACGATGTGGGAATTGGTTGAGTCATAATTATAGAAAGCTCGTGCTAGGAGCAAAGGTCTGTGTCGGAAATAGCTGTCGTGTGCAAGTGGTCTTCGAACGGCGCGCGAGCGGAGAGAAGGAGTGTATTGCGCTATCTATACCGGCTGAACGGGCACACCGGGACGGCGTCCACTTTAAGTACTGTAACGAGAAAAGATCGATATAAGTGAGTGGTAGTAGTTCGGCAAGATTAGAAGAAAGTAGGCAGAAATATTGGGCCAAGTAGTAGTATCTGGCTGCTGACGATTAGAGTCGGTCGCGGCCGACAGGGTCATGGAGGCTGTGCCAAAAGGAGTGGTGAGCGGGTGGGAAGCGACAACGGAGGGAGCAATGAGGGAATGCGATGAAGTAACGAAGCGCTCGCCGTGACGACAACCAGTAAGTAGGTTCACGCAGAATAGAGAAGTATCATGACTCAAGTGAAAAAGGCGCGACTCCCTCACCAAACGGATCCCAAAGGTTAGGAGGAGAAAAAGGGGATCCTTTTCGGGGACGAAAAGAGATGAGGAGAGAGGGGGCGGAGGTTCTTTTTCTAATTTTCCCAATTCAACGGGACGCATGGACGTTTTTTTTGTTTTGGAGATCATCTGGGTTTAGTCCCGTTGGAAGCTGGAACCTCGACCCTCGACGGGCTCTTTCTTTCCCCTGCCGTTTCACCTTCGCGCCTTCTGCCATCCTTTTCCCTCGCAATGGACCGGGTTCTCAAACCCCCTTCCTTGAATGGGACTGCAAGACTCCCTTTATGAAACCCTTTGTTGATTTGATTCAGTTTGAAGGGAAGGGGGAGGAAGAACAACAACAAGAACAAGAACAGATGCTGGAAACCATCATAGGATGATATTGGCAATAATAATAAGTGTGACTGAAACGGGCTGCTATACCTCGTGGGTAATAGCCATGACCCAGAACCCCCATTCTAGTTATTATTCTAGTTATCATCTGCTCCCTCCCGCACAACCACACCACCACGTTTTAGAGTTTCCAAGACAGGTCTTCTTCCCCGACATTCTTCGGGTTCATCAACTACGTGAATCATGAACGGATATGATCTCTACAATTATACACGGCAGATCCACGGATCTGATTGCCCACACGGGTGGCTAATAATAGGACTATGTATGTACTGTAAGTTATTACTGACTCTCCGGAGAGCATCGAGTAGTAGATAGATGGATAGTCCCTTGACCGCGCTGCAGATCATGACGGACAAATACGTACTACATACAGTACCAGCATTAATGCCTGAAGACGGCCGTGCATGAGATGAGTTATCGTCCCGGCATGCATGTTGCGTGTACCTACATAAATTGTAGTATATAAAGGTAGGTAAATTATCTACCGACCTACATGCTTTCACCGACGCATTGGATGATGTGACAGCTCAGCCGCGAAGCTCCGCACGATGCTTCTTCCTCTCGCCACGAAAAAGACTTGCAGTTATCCCCCGGTAGTGATGTCATTGATGAGATCCCGCGATGGACAATGAATCAAACTTAGTGCTATGTATGTATGTATAAGCTCTGTCAAGCCAGTCGCCATGCCCTGGGGCGAAAATCAAGCGGGAGTTCCTTTCGGGATCCTCAACGAGTGCATCCGTTTCTATCCAGGATCCGGGATAGAGACTGCCGTGTCCCAAGCAAAGCCTTAAAAGGCCACCTTGACAGATCCCCCCTTAGGACCGGGGTCACGTGTGGGTCCCGGTGGGATTTCAGGGTTCTGGATGCATAAATTACCGGCTCGTAATACCACCAGGTACCAATGGCCCGCTTTTACCATACAATACACCTCCTGCTCAGTCGGGCCGAATTCACCGGCCAGAACTACTAAGGAGTATCTATTCTATCTACTTAACAACCGGTATGGAGTAGTTATCTCCTTGTAAACCAGTTATGTTGCAAGAGTTAACCTAAGAGATAGTAGTAGTGTGTGAAACTGGACACTAGATAATTTGCTACCATTAGTCGACAACAGATCTCCTTTTCTCCTGCCATATGCGTAGGAGATTATCAGTCTCCATTTCATACAATGAATCAACCCCAGCAGAACTTGCACCCGGAATCCGAGTCAGATCTCGGACCCGAGTTGCAGGACAGTGAAAGAGACCTGCTAACAGGCCCATCTATTACATGATGAACGAGCCATGTCCCTTCGTCTTTTGTCGACGCATGGCTAAGTACGAAGATGGAGGTAAGAAGGTCAAGATGCTCTCTTGTTTCTATAAGATTGTAGAGGCGGAGAAAAACAAAACAATCGCTTGAAGCAAGCTAGTGTTGGCCCCTTTTAGGGAAGTTTGTCTTGCCTACTACTTACTACTCTTACCAAGACACACATGCGTGGTCAAGGGAGAGTGGTTGCATCCCGCGGTTACGAAGCGCGGCCACCAAAGATCTAAACCCTCTGGTGTCTGACGACGGTCGCGCCAAGCTAACGAACGAGAGGAACTGGTTCTGGAAAACACTAAAACATAAATAGAAATCCAATGTGGTCTCTCAACTTCTAATTGCCCTTCAAGGTGGTTCGCCATGCTGATCGTGAACTCAAAGGGCCCAGAGAATTACCCTTTGACACTTGCTGACGACTGCCAGATTCCGCCCGGCCAAAATTAAGAATGATTCAAGGAGGACGTGTTTTGCAGGTTAAGCTTCAGGGTCTTTTGCATGCACCAACTCTCCCAACTCCCAAAGTACCAAAGGCTGGGTCGGTAAGGCCTGTACAGATAGATTTCTAGTTCTTACCGCCCATCAGGCCCGAAATTTCTCTCGGTGGTGCTGTCTTGACTCGTTTCCCTTTAGTTCCCCCCAATAATCACAGTACAAGGGTTGTGTGGTTTCTATAGTGCCTTTTTTAGACGTAATTTTGGTCATTCTACTAGAGTGCCACCAATCTAACCGACCAAGTCAGCAATAATTTACCGCCAGTGATTTGGTCTGGGAGAGAGAGGGATTTGGGAAGAGGGTGAAAACGAGACAAGAACGAAAGGGAGAACCAGTTGGACTACCCGCAAATAGGCAAAGTGTAATACGTTACCAGAATACCAGGCTGGAAAGGAGAGCCGCGACTCCCGAGCTGGAGGGTAGGCTGTAAATTACCATCTGTGACCACGACCGCTTGCGCCTCCTTGGCCTTGGCGGAACTTCCACCCATCCCCATCCCCAAATAATCCTCTCTCGAGCCTTCATCTCATCGGTTGCCCTCCCGCAGCTCTCGGCTTCCACCCAGCCTCAGCCTGCCACCCCCCCCTCTGATCGTGATTAATGACCTCGTCGACCACAATCGTGTCTTCGGCCTCATTGCTCCGGACATCAGTCCTTTGCGTTGCTGTCGACTTTCCCCCCGCCCACCTCTGCTTGGCCGACTGAGAGGGAAAAGTTGGCGAGAAAGGAGGCTTTCCTCCGGCCGCTCTTTATTTCGACCCTTCGCTTCGTCTAGATCGGAAATTTCCATCCGTTCTCGATTATAATACTCTTTTAATCGCTTCTTTGTGTTCTCATATCGCTCGGCTTTGGAAAGTGAAATATAGACCAGAGTCTCGCTCTTCGGCGCTCGCGTGCGGACGTACATAACTCTTGTCATCGAGATTCCCTTTGGGTCAATATCCGACAAGAGAGGTCTCGAACTGAGAACTTGTTCCATTTGACTGCTGATACTTGAAAACTACTGTGTGCCATCGCTGTTCAATCAGCCGTGTGGCCCAACTTTTGCACCCATGGGCCTCGTTCAACGGGTTACGAAATGGCTGCCCTCCGCGCCGAGTCTGCCCCTAGATGACTCGTCGCGCGAGAAAGGCCGTAATCTGTCCAGATTCGCTTTCTTCAAACGGAGGATACGGTTAAAGGGCAACTCCTCGATCTCGATACCCCTGGGATTTGTTTTACTATTTCCATGCCTTGTAATAGTCCTTATCCTGCTACTTTTTGTTCGACATCCTGCTTCCCCTGGGGGTATTCTCATCCCTGCCGGTACTCCGCCTTCTATCAGGTTCGTTCTGCTCGCTAGGCACGAGATACTGGATTTTCGATAGCTAACCACGCGCCGATCTTACAGGAAAATCAGCGAAAAATATGACAAAGTCTTCGCTACCGGCTGTCTCCCCGTCGAGAAAACCGACGCCCCGCGCGCAAATGCCGCTTTCGTCGTCCTTGCCAGAAACAAGGAATTAGACGGAGTTATTCAGTCGCTCAAGTCCATTGAAAGACACTTCAACCGCTGGTTTCACTACCCTTACGTCTTCCTGAACGATGGTGATTTCGATGACGCCTTCAAGGCGACGGTCAAGAACTACACCAGCGCCCCCGTTGAGTTTGGCAAGATCGATGAGTCTATGTGGGGTTACCCCGACTGGGTTGATCATGAAGTCGCCAAGGAGGGTGTTCGGAAACAGGGTGACGCCGCCATCATGTACGGAGGCATGGAGAGCTACCACCATATGTGCCGATTCTATTCCGGGTAAGTTTCTCAATTAATTCCACTCCGCTGTCACTAATCCTGACCGTTGAATAGCCACTTCTACAAGCACCCCCTGCTCATGAAATACGAATGGTACTGGCGTCTCGAGCCTGAGATCAAGTACTTCTGCGATATTACATAGTACGACCCTCCCACGGATCCTTGCGTATCGGTATTATACTGACATCCTAATCAGTGATCCATTCATCAAGATGGCGGAAGCAAACAAGACCTACGGCTTCACCATCGCTGTCAAGGAGCTTCGCGAGACCGTCCCCAACATCTTCCGTTACGCATCTGCCTACAAGCGGAAACACAACTTGGAATCGAAGGGACTGTGGGAAATGTTCCTGGAGAAACCCGAAGAAGAGCCTAAGCCCGAGGAGGAAAAGCAAGAGAAACTCCCTGAGGAGATTCTTCAAAATGAGCCTGGTGAAAATACCGTTCCCGATGTTGACCCGGAAGCCATGGAAGGCGAGAAGTACAACATGTGCCACTTCTGGAGTAACTTCGAGATTGCGCGGTTGGACTTCTTCCGCA